ATAGAACAATTACAAGCTATCACAATTCAAAATTCTCAACAATTACTAGCTATCACAATGCAAAATTCTTAATTCTATAGTTCTCTCATTAATGTAACAAAATATTCACCAAAGCATAAGTATTGCTTAGAATAAAAGAAATATAAAAATCCCATTACTGCAACAACTTATTTCCCCTATATCATTACTATCAGCAATAATATAGTATTTTCATTTATGTTCCACAGCATTGCCACACTATTACATTTTATTATAATAACACTTTCACTTATAAAACAATGTTCTTATTAATGGAACACAGTGTTTCATCACAACATGAGTGTCACTAATGATGAAAGATTCACTTCAAAATTCAAACACAATATTCCCAACTGCCATGACCCAGATTTAGTGTCAGTTAACAATCTTTGACTTGATTTTTTAAAAAAAATAATTCTTACCGGGGTACTTAAAACTATACTCAATCAAAACCAGTCTAATTTTATTCCATCTAATAATCTAAGAATTGTTAATAATAAACACTATACTCACCAATAACATTCTGATTCGACTCCATCGTCATCAACAGACATTGTATCTTCCACACCTAACAAGAAATCAAATAAACACCTACCAACGTTATCATCTCAAGAAAAACTGTACGTTTTATATTTCTATAGGGAAATACTATGGAGTTATTTGGATTTGCACTGAGGGTCAGTTCTCTTGGAATACTCAAAAGAGTTAGGTTCAATATATGCATAAAATGGCCCTGTCCCTAAAACTTATTAGGACCCTTTTACTCATTTCAAACACCAATGTTAAGAAGATGCTAAGTGCATTCAATTACTACAATTTTCTCTGAGAGTTGAGGTATTGAAAAACAGGCTTTATAAAAAATTGTAAAGCTTTTTAATTTTGAAGAAAACAGGTGTTTTTATGAGTGCCTTCAGCAAAGAATTTTTATAAAGACCCATATTTCATTCAAAAAATAAAACTTTATTTTATGAAGTTTCAGAAATACTAATACTTCTCAAGAAAATACACAAAAAATCTGCTGAACTAAACCCCTAAATCTGACATAAGGAACATATTTGTTAAATGGACATATTACATATACTGTAACTGTATTACATTTAGCTGTGTATTTTTTAAGTGCCTTTTGCAGAAAGCCGCTCCTGCTAATTCAAGTACCACTCTAAATGTCTTGGACATGTAAATACAAATAGGAACATAAGTAATTGCTCTAAATCAAATCTTCGTTAACTTGTTCCATTAAGTCCATTCCCCTCAAATATCAAACCATATCAAAACATAGATCTCAATGCAATCTTCATTTATATTTTCACTTGGTAAATTCATGCAGCCCCTCTACTCTATAATCTTTTGAATCTTTTGAATTTATTTCAGAGTACATGTATTGCTATTTTATATAAGTTACATATTTTAGGTTAGAAAAGTAAGTCCTTATATAAAGGGGCCAGGTACCTTAACTAAAATGTAATTAATGTGTTAATTATGTTACCTTCTCCATCTGGTTTTCCTGCTTCCTTTGTTTCTGGATCCTGCCTAAAATTATAAACATCAATTTTACAAAATAGCAGCTCAATAGCAGCTCAATACAGTGTAGTACCATGCACTCAAAACAAAAATATGACAAAAAGTATCAATAATAATAATTATCAAATAAGCTAACTACTTTCCTTCACACAATTACATTTTTCTTTAGTGGTGTTGCAATCATTGATTATAATTGAAAACTAGTCAATTCCTGGTATAATCCAATAATTTTACTTTGATTGTTTATTTTATTTTACAAGCATAATAGTTTTAAGCCTAGATTCCAGCTGAAACTTATCTCTTTACTGATGTGTGTATCATAATGATGTACTCCAGCATGCTAGAGGTTCACGGCGAGATACTTTTGACATTATCCGAGGTATATAAGGAGCGTAGGGACGTTAACCGAGGCTCTTACTTGCAGGAGTACATAATGATGCAGACTAACAAAGGTACTGTAAACCAACATTTATTCGTGAGTTTCGCCACCTACTTTAAGTTGCGAATATTAATTGCCGCTAAGCATTTATTTTGCTTTGTTTTTAGTAGAAAATGTTTCCTTATTCGTGAAAATTAAACGTCGCGGATTGATTAAAAACTAACGAATCATGAAAAATAGTTGGTTTACAGTATCTATACCCAGGTAATAAAGCATCTTCCTGGGTTTGGACTTACTTTGGGTTTTAGAAAATGAATGAAGGACAAGCTAGACCATATATTAATAGAAAGTTCATCCATTCTTTACATTTAATTAACTAATTTGAAAGAGTTCAACTTCAGAGACTTTGTAAATGTCCTATTTTAATAGTTAATTAGTTACAGTAACCTGATCATTGATTATGAAATTCTTACGCTTCCCATCACCATTTCTCTCACATTTAGCTTAAGTATATTGATTTGGGGGGGGGGGGGGGGGTCCGCTGTTTCAATCTCACATACAAGTAATAAAGAGAAGGGAGAGAACAAAACAAATAAATTGCAGGTAATCTATTATCAATTTTACATTAACTACAGAAAATGGTTAAAAATATTCTGTTAATGTGACGAACGGTAAATAAAATAAACTAGATATCATTGAGATGGTGGCCATCTCAAAGGGCCCCGCTTTCAACAACGAAAATGAAAATGCAAGGTAGCTGGAAAGGGTTTATTTTGAAGAGGAACATTTGTGTACATACCCTCTATCAAAAAAATGTACAAAAATCATGAATGTTGCATATTCTCTATGAAAATTGTTGAATATTCTCTCAAAATATGGAAGGAAAATCACAAATGTTCCGTACCCTTGGTCAATTGGTAAAGTTTGAGACTGACAGGACAGGGAAAGAGATTTTGCATCATACAAAGATTTTAAACAGAGATGCTATTTTTGACCTTCACCGAGAAACTTTGTTCAAGGTCAGTGCACATCCATTGACCAGTGGCGTTCTGTGAGTGAAGTATGAGCAACATTGGACCAAGGGGAGAGAAGTTATGCTTCGTACCCGGATTTTTCATATAATTCTGCTATGACCTTAACCTTAGACCAGGAAACATGGTTCAAAGTCACTGCACACCTTTACCTAAAGGCACTTTGTAGGTGAAGTATGAGACTAATTGGGTCAGGAAGAGAGAAAATATGCTCCAGACAAGAATTTGAACAGAGAGGCTATTTTTGACCTTGACCCTTGACCAAGAAACTTTGTTCAAGGTCACTGCACATCCATTAACTACTGGCACTCTGTGAGTGAAGTATGAGCAACATTGGACCAAGGGGAGAGAAAATATGCCCTGGATAAGGATTTTTCCAAAAATTCTGCTATGACCTTAATATTTGACCTAAAAATACAGTTCAAGTCAATGCACACCCTATACCCAAAGACACTCTGTGGGTGAATTTTGAGCCAGTTTGGGCCAAGGGGGAGAGAAAATATGCTCCAGACAGGAATTTAAACAGAGAGCCTATTTTTGACCTTGACCTAAAACTTTGTTCAAGGTCACTGCAAAACCATTGCCCAGTGGCACTCTGTGAGTGAAGTATGAGCCACTGGACCAAGATGAGAGATATGTTCCCGAAAAGGATTTTTCAAAAAATTCTGCTATGACCTTGACCTTAACCTATAAACATGGTTCAAGGTCACTGCACACCCTTTACCCAGAGACACTCTGTGGATGAAGTATGAGCCAGATTGGGTCAAGGAAAGAGAATATATGCTCCAGACAAGAGATCTCTGGTAGACAGACGGATGGAAGGACAGCTAGACAGACGGACGGACTGATCACTATAGGGTGCCCACCTAATGGGGCCCTAATTATATCCAGGACTTGACATTAATGCTTTTCCGGTACCAGTGAGAATAATATGGACAAGTGATTATTGCTGGGCACTTGTCCGATTAGACAAGTGAATTTTAATGTAAAGGAGTCTCTAAATATCAAAAAGAACGACTGTTGAAAGCTAATCAGAATTTTCTAGGTGAAAGCTGTACATAAAAACCAGACTTCGATCCTGATATTTATCGCTATATTAATTGAATTCACATTCGATCGGGATCGAACTTCACTAATTGCATACTATCGAAAATTCATGGAAGATATGAACAGAAGTGTGGATTCTGTTTGATGTTGACAGGTTCACTTGCGGACATTTACGTTATTGTCAGGACAGAAAGCCCAGATTAGATTTCGTTTTATGTGTTTTTTGTATTTATCAATAACATCACAAATCAATCAAGCACAAATGGACTTTATATTTTAGTTTTCAAGTTGACAGTATTAGTTCTTTCTTGAAAAATTTTCGGACAAGTGAATTGAAGTTCGGACAGGTAAATGTCTTGGTCACTTGTTCAAATGAACAAGTAGGAAAAAAGTTAATGTCGAGCCCTGATATTTCAACAGTTTAAATTTATTTTTTTTTTTCTTTTAATTTAAATTGATTAATTTCAATTTGTAAATTCTATATTGAAACCATTATCACCGGTATTTAATTCAACGATTAAAAAATAATTGTAAAATGAAAAATGAGAGTATTACTAATGATTTAATTTTAAGATTAAATGTAAATTGAAAGTAAAAAATGAAAGTAATTTCAAATGTAAACAATGCGATCTAAGCTCAAATAGATAATTTATCCGATGTATGATGCTCCTTTCTAATTGTGAAATAATTCATCTTTTGTTGTTTCTTATAACTGATTACATTTCAAGCTCATAATATACCTGTTCTGCATGTTATCGACTCCTATTTGGGGCTCAGAGGGTACTTCTCCCGCTTTGTCCGCCATGATGGCTTGATACGAAATCTCGTGAGATGTTGTTGTAAACGATCGTTAGAGAAAGAATGTTTTTCGAGTTTGTGTGAAAAGCCTACGTCCAAAATTTAAAAGAAAACATAACGAGTTACAAAGTAAGGTTACAAATTCGTTTTATGTAGACAGTATGAGGTATTATTAAAATGTAATTGAGGTTATATCACGTGACATAACTAACAACGAGAATTCCACCATATTTTTGGTGGCAGGTGCGAAGGTGACAATGTGAATCATCGACATACCATACGTCGTCCGAGAGAAATTTTCTAAAAACTGTCACAATTTCCAGTGATATTTTTCTAATTTTTTAGAGTGTGACGACATAGACCTTTGTGAAACAATAGAAGAGGTGTTATTCAGTCTGACAATGAGATGACCAAAATATAACATGAAGAAACTGTTCCCTTTCAAAATTGATTCAGCGGGGACTCAGAACCCTTATATTGGCAAGGTTTTCACAGTAGGGAGGTTTACAGTTACAGTAGAGGATGTCATAGCAGAGGGTGAGAGCTCTTTCATGTACAAAAATTAGATAAAATGAAGTGAAAGGGGGCGTGTCTACCCCATAAAAGTTTATGGGCATCCCCCTAAAAGTTACTGCTTTTTATTTCTTTAATTCATTGTAAATTTATATTTGATCTGAAACAAATTTTTAATTAGCTATCATATTTTTATAAACATTCTTACAAATGTTCAGAATACTTTGTAAGGTGATGGATATGGGGTGGTAGGCAGTCACAATTGGTTTAAGAGTCTAGATCTACATTTCTCACTTTTCAAATGCTGATTGCCATGATGATATCACTATATTTAGTAAACATTTGTAGTCTTCTCAATTATGGTTTGCTATTGCACTTTTATAGATTTTGTGCTAAACATACACTAGAATTTGATTGTTATGTATTTACAATATGCATGATAATAATTAATATAGATCTAGTTAATATTCTCCTATATATTAATTTTTCCCTGATATAACTATATGTGCAATTAAAAGTGATAATACCTACAGCCAATTTTCCAAGATCACATTCACTCAATTATGTTATAAATTCATCATTAAAATATTGATCTTCTTTAGGTGGATTTGCAATTGTATTCCTGGTGAAGGCACAGAATGGAAATCATTATGCACTCAAAAGATTGTTTGTAAACAATGATCATGATCTGACTGTCTGCAAAAGAGAGATTCATATAGCAGTAAGTAGAAAAAAACCACCATAAAAGGATACTGATATTGTACACAGATCCTCTGGCTGTGAGTAGGATAGCCCAAGGGCTTGCCAAAGAAAATTGTTTTTGTCAAGAGTTTGATGAAAGAGGTATTGGAATCTCACTCACACCCAATAGATAAATTGATATGTTAGTTTCTAACCCCCCAACTATCCCATCCCATCATGGCCCTTAAGGTTTTAGCTGTTAACCAGTTAACCAAACCCCTGATGACTGAATCAAAACTGGAGATCATCTCACAATTTCTTTGTTAACACAGTTTTAAAATTAAGGATACTTGGCTGAATTAGATCAAGGCAAAAGCAAAGTAAAACTTTTATGATGCTAAGCCAGAGATAAAAAATCGAGGTAAAAAAGTTGTGCTCATAGAGCTCAGCAATTTTACCCTATTTTGTATTGAAAAAGGTGGTAGATGGAGGATTTAGTGCAACAGATTATAACCAATAAAAAAGCTATTTTGCCTCTTCAGTAAGGAAACATTTTCAACAAAAATTTATGTAAATCTACTTAATACCTATAAATGTGAAAATAAAATTGCCTTTTAATCTTAACTGGTAATTTAATTCCACCTTTTCCATTTCAGAAAACTCTCAGTGGTCATAAGAACATCATAAGCTATGTGGACTCAAGCATTTCTATGGCACCAAACAAAGTATATGAGGTGATGCTGTTAATGCAGTACTGCAGAGGTGAGTGTAAAGAGAGATGCATATCAACTACAAGTAATTAAAAAATTTATTATGGCTTAAATTCTTGCATTGGCTTTGATGTTGACACTGGGATGCTGTTTAAGTTTTATGAGCTGCTGCTGACATTTCCCTGTGATTATAAGCCCTTCCTGGACCAAACTTGTAAGGATGATGCATATAAGGATGTGCAATACTGCACACATGCTTCAGATCCTTGATCTGACCTACATTTATTGAAGCAGGTTCATTTCCAATTTACTGAAAGCTCTATGATGATCAAACTTGCATGGATGATGATGCATCTGTTGATGCACTCTACAGAATTGCTTCAAATGTTGGGTCTGACCAGTCTCTTCCAGATGAAAAAAAACAGGTGATTGGACAATTGAATATTTTTGAGCAGGTCTGTCTTTAAGTATTTTTAGATCTTACCTGGACCAAACTTGTTCAAGATGTTGAATCGGGATGCACACTACCAAACATTTTTAGTGTGTTTAATGTGAGACTTAGTCACTTTGCCATGTTTGTTTTTTAAATAGATCATGTGATACAACAGATGAATGAAAAAATCAACTCAGGCTTCTCAGAAAAAGAGGTTCTTAGGATATTCTGTGATGTATGCGAGGCAGTGGCTAGGTTACATCACTGTCAGACCCCCATAATACACCGAGATTTAAAGGTAAGGCACCAGTAATACAGAGAGGATGCACATGTAAGTGTCACAGAAAATTGTAAAGAAAGATGAACTTCAATTAAGTTAAGATTTTGAAAATATTGACCTTATTTAACATTGATTTAAATGCATTTTTAAGTAGTCAAGCAAGAAGATTTATAAGTAATTTTAGAAATTCCAGTATTTCCACTTAATTTCAATATTTTATTTTGTGTAAAGAATGAAAAGTTCAAATTAAACTAAAGGGACCTTAATACAACAAATGACAAACTTGTAATATATTTTTCAGGTTGAGAACATTTTGGTGTCTGACAGTGGACATTATGTACTCTGTGATTTTGGGAGTGCTACTGCTAAAGCTGTCTTACCTGGTCAACAAAATGTCCAGCAGATAGAAGAAGAAATCAGAAAGTAAGATTCAGATCCATTCTGGTAGCTGTTCCCTGTCTTTTGGATTCACTACAATTATATATTGAATTATGCCTTACTGTCACATGTTTGTTTTTGTAAGAATAAACATTTTCAGCTGTACCTGTATTTTAAGTCAGTGTCTTTATGGATTATTTTAAGGTATACCACAGTTTCCTACAGAGCTCCAGAAATGGTAGATTTGTATGGAGGAAAACCAATCACCACAAAAAGTGATATCTGGGTAAGTATTCAGAGTCTATTGTGAAATAAAAGGCAAGAATTTATCATCAAAAGTATTTAGAAGAAGGTGCAATTTTATGACAATAACAGTATGAACCACTATCTGGTATACATGGTCAATGATAAATCATAAAAAAAATATATATATTGCCTGTGAAAGGTACTTTTTTGAGAGCATTATCTCTTTGTTGAACTGTTCTTTTTATATATTTTTTTGTTGACAGGCACTTGGTTGTTTGCTTTACAAGTTGTGCTTCTTCACTTTACCATTCGGTGAGAGTACATTAGCTGTCCAGAGTGGAAACTTCACCATCCCTGATGATTCACGATACTCAAAGATGATGCATTCTCTTATTGGTAGGTCACATGGATTTATATGATTTATTGTGATATGGATTTACATTATGATTTATTGTCATATAGAATAAGGAAAATTGACTTGCAGTTCTTACTGTAGCTAATAAAAGTAAAAATATGTTTTGTAGGATACATACTGGAGGTTGATCCAGAGAAGCGACCAGATATTTATCAGGTGTCGTGGCTGGCGTTTAGTATGTCACACAGAGACTGTCCTGTCCCTAACATGAATGTAGGTTATGATATTGAATATTAACAATCTTGACATGTCTAGGGCTTTATGTGTAGAGCGTATTTGTATTTTTGTTTCTTTTTGATTGTTTTCTGTATGATGAATACTATCTCAAAATATAATTCCAGCCAGTATTAGATGAAGAGATCGATAAACTGTATATGATATTTTGTAGGGTGCACCTTTGCCAGATCTGAGCAGATTACCGGTACCTCTAACAGAATCAGAATCTAGACAAGTCAAAACTTCATCTTCAAAGTAAGGAAGCTTTTCCATGAACATTCTGGATGCCGTATTTTTAGGTCACCTGAGTAAACTCAGGTGACCTATTGCTATCCGTTTTCGTCTGTCGTCGTTCGTCGTACGTCGTGTGTCGTACGTCGTTCGTAAACTTTTGAACATTTTTAACTTCTTCTCTGGAACTATTGAATCAATTTCAACCAAATTTGGTATACAGCATCTATAGGTAAAGAGGAACAAAAATTGTGAATTTCATGGTCCCTGCCCCCCTGGGGCCTGAGGGGTGGGGCCAAAACCACTAAAATTAATGCAATCTTTAAAAATCTTCTTCTTTACTCCTGGACATCAAGCAGTCAAACTGTTGACATGATTGTAATCAGCATTGAGTCCTCTACCAAAATTGTGAAATTCATGGCCCCTGGGTCAGGGGTTCTGGTGTTAGGGCGGGGCTATATAGATCATATAGTAAAAGTGCATTATTTCTTTGAAAATCTTCTTCTCTGCTCCTGGGTATTAAATAAACCAACTAAGAACATAGTTATAATGACCAAGAGTGCCTCTTCAATAATTGTGAATTTCATGGCCCCTGGGTCAGGGGTTCTGGTGTAAGGGTGGGGCTATATAGATCATATAGTAAAAGTTCATTATTTCTTTAAAAATCGTCTTCTCTTCTCCTGGGTATTAAATAAACTAAATAAGAACATAGTTATGATGACCAAGAGTGCCTCTTCAATAATTGTGAATTTCATGGCCCCTGGGTCAGGGGTTCTGGTGTAAGGGCGGGGCTATAAAGAACATATAGTAAAAGTGCATTATTTAAAAAAACGTCTTCTCTTCTCCTGGGTATTAAATAAACTAAGAACATAGTTATGATGACCAAGAGTGCCTCTTCAATAATTGTGAATTTCATGGCCCCTGGATCAGGGGTTCTGGTGTTAGGGCGGGGCTCTATTGATTGTATAGTAAAAAAAAACATTAATTCTTCAAAAATCTTCTTCTCTGCTCCTTAGCATTAAACAGGCTAACTTAGTGCATAGTTATGATGAGCAAGAGTGCCTCTTCCAAAATTGTGAATTTTATGGCCCCAGGGTCAGGGGTTCTAGGGCTAGGGAGGGGCTCTATTGATTAAACAGTGAAAATGCATTTATTTTTTGAAAATCTTCTCTGCATCTGGGTATTAAATAAACTAAGTACATAGTTATAATGAACAAGAGTGCCTCTTCCAAAATTGTGAATTTTGTGGCCCCTGGGTTGGGGGTTGTGATGTAAGGGCTAGGCTTTATTGCCTATATAGTGAAAATACATTGTTTCTCAAAAATCATCTTCTCTGCTCCTTGGTATTAAACAAATGAACTATGTACATAGTTATGATGAGGAATTATGCTTCTTCCAAAACTATGAATTTCATGGCCCCTGGGTCAGGGGTTCTGGTGTTAGGGTGGAGCTCTAATGATTATATATAGTGAAAATGCATGAATTCTTTGAAAATCTATTCCATTGCTCCTAGGTATTATGCGAATGATCTTAGTTTATATATTTATGATGAAGAAAGGTGCATCTAGCAAAATGATAAATTTCATGTTCTCTGGGTCAAGGATATCGGGAAGGGGGGGGGGGGGTAAAGTACATAGTCTGAAGATAAATATTAAATGCTTTGAAATCTGCTGTGGTATTAATCAACCGTTTATGTTGAAATAAAATTTATGATAAAATTTCCAAAATTTTGAAATGTGTGGCCCCAGGGTCAGTGGTTGCTGAAGGGTGGGGTGCACCACTAGCTGGTTATAAAGTGAAAATGCATTTTCTCTTTCTTACTCTGATCTAACTCTGGGTATTAAGTAACTAGAGTAAGCATTCTAAAAAGTGTATAATTACACTTTCTATAATTCTATAAAGTGTATAATTATGATAAGCAATGGCGCTTCTTTCAAAATCTTGAATTTCATGGAATCTAGTTTAAAACACAAACCAAATTTAATATTTGGAAAGTTGTTTCATGATAATCAGGTGACCTATAAGGCCCGTGGGCCTCTTGTTTGTCAATAATTTCTGGTATTTGTTGATGCTTATACATGCATATGTGAATGTGTTTGTGAACTGTCATTTTAACTTGTAGAAATACCCCAGTCCAGCCAATTGAGAGCACAACCGTGACCCCAAGGTCACGACCTAAAGGTCAAGCAATGCCACAGACCAATTCTCTGAACTTACCCATACAAACATCTGTAGTGCCAAGAAAACGTCCGACCCCTACAAACCCAACCCCTCCCGTACAACCAAATAGAGCAGGTCAGATATTCAGTACTAAGGAATAGGACTGCTTATTGATTTTGTTTAAAATGATACCTCTGCAGGATGTTTTCAAAGGATTAGATGCAAGATGCTAGATTATCTTAAGTCAATATACATGTATTTGATGTATGAATTTAAGGAGGAAAACAAAACGATTTTGTTAATATTTCATCACATAAATGTCTGTTCCATGTGATCTTCAATAGCAAAGGTACTGGATTGGAATACAGAGGCTTGAGATAATTTTTAGCTCACCTCAACGAAGTTGGGGGAGCTTATGTAATACCCTCGCAGAGCTGCCAACATTCTGAAATCACAAATAGTAAGGCGGGGTCTAGGGAACACCTAGGCCCCCTGCCGCTGAAGATGTTTTGTAAATGGACATCCAATCTGAGGCATGTTTCCTTTTTGTTTACTTTAAAACATTGACATGAATGTGATCGGCCTTCTAAAACTGAAACGATGATACTTGTAAGCAAGCATTGTAAAACTTATAAATAATATTAGTAGAATTTTATAGACTGCCAGCTATGAAAATACAAGAATTATAAACTTTGAACGAGAAAAACTGAAATCGGAAGAATACATAGAGAAATCGTAAGGCGTATTTTAGGCGCTGATTTCATACGCCTTACGCCAAAATCGTAAGGGTTGGCAGCTCTGCCCTCGGCGTCGGTGTCGGTGTCGGCGTCGGCGTCCCAGGTAAAGGTTAAGTTTTTTGGAGCAGTTTTCTTTTTAAGTACTTCTGTGTCCTATATTGATTAGACATGCATGGAAGATGCTTCTGGTGTGTTTCATTGTACCAGTCATAGTTTCAGATGCTGCAATTTCAGCAAAGGAATGACCAGGTTAATGTTTTTGGAGCAGGTTAACATTTTTGGTGCAGTTTTTGGTGTAGGTCTCATTTCCAAGGAACTATGAGCCCTATGTTGACCAAACTTGCATGGATGGAGCATCTAAGGATGCACATTACCAGGCTTGCTTTGGATGCTGAATTTGACCTACATTTTCCGGTTGAGTGAACAGGTTTATGTTTTTGGTGCAGGTCTCATTTCCAAGTAACTATAAGCCTTATGTTGACCAAACTTGCATGGATGATACATCTAAGGATGTACACTACCAGACTTGCTTCGGATGCTGACTCTGACCTACATTTTCCGGTTGAGTGAACAGGTTAATGTTTTTGGTGCAGGTCTAATTTCCAAGTAACTATAAGCCCAATGTTGACCAAACTTGCATGGGTGATACATTTTATGATGCATACTACCAGACTTGCTTCGGATGCTGAATCTGACCTACATTTTCCGGTTGAGTGAACAGGTTAATGTTTTTGGTGCAGGTCTAATTTCCAAGTAACTATAAGCCCTATGTTGACCAAACTTGCTTGGGTGATACATTTTATGATGCATACTACCAGATTTGCTTCGGATGCTGAATCTGACCTACATTTTCCAGTTGAGTGAACAGGTTAAAGTTTTTAATGCAGGGTTCATTTCCAAAATTCAGTTTGCCCTATAATGACCAAACTTGCATGGATGGTACATCTTAGGATGCATACTACCAGACTTGCTTCAGATGCTGAATCTGACCTACATTTTCTGGATGAGTGAACAGGTTAGAGTTTTTATACCCCCGCAAACGAAGTTTAGGGGGGTATATTGGAATCACCATGTCCGTCTGTCTGTAGACAAGATTTTGTCCGGACCGTTTCTCAGAAACTGTTTTATGGATTTGTCTGAAAATTTATACACTTATTATTCACCATATGAAGATGTGCACCTGGTATTTTCATCATGATTGGTTGATTTTTCTGCATTTTACAGATGTTTTTTCTTTTTATACCCCCCGCAAACGAAGTTTAGGGGGGGTATATTGGAATCACCATGTCCGTCTGTCTGTCTGTAGACGAGATTTTGTCCGGACCATTACTCAGAAACTATTGGAAGGATTTGTCTGAAAATTTGTACACATATTATTCACCATATGAAGTTGTGCACCTGATATTTTCATCTTGATTCGATTATTATTTTGAATTTTACAGGTGTTTTTTTCATTTTTATTTTGTGGTTTTGTCCGGACCGTTTCTCAGAAACTATTGCAAGGATTAATCTGAAAATTTGTACACTTATTATTCACCAGATGAAGGTGTACACCTGGAATTTTCAACTCTTTTTGTTAATTTTTTTGCATTTAACAGGTTTTATTTTTTATTTTAATTGACTTGTTCATTTTGGGCTCATGTATAAGGTTTGAGATATAGAATCTAGAATATCTGTTCAAAAATACTACAGCTTAAAACTACTCATAAAAACTTTAAAAAAAGAAACATCATCAAGTGTTAAAAACAGTTTTTACAGTGCACAGAAGGTTTGTAATTTCATTTGTCTCTTGGGAATAATGACTGGACATGCATCCAGTTAAAGATAAATTAATGAGTTTGGTGTTGGAAGTTGTTAAGGCACATCTCTTATCAAGTGTGTGTGTTATCTAATCTCCAGGGAATAAGGCATAAGAATTAAAGATCTCTCTTCTCTTATTCTCTTAATTGTAATATATTGTCTGTCAAAGCACTTCATTACTGGATGACCAGCTCTTTATTTTCAAAATGCATTTCAAATTGATATATCAAGATTAATTTGATTTTGTATTATGTTTTTTTTTTAACAATCAGTTTGCAGAGTGACATAACACATAATTGCAATATATTTTTTTAATGCAGAAATAAAAAAAATAAAATGAAAAAATAAAAAAAAAATGTTACAGTGGAATTACAATGTATTAGTATTGATGTTTCATTTGGTTGCACCTTTGTTTCATTCATTAAGAAACATGATGAGCAATTATATTTCACTGCAAATTTTTGTAAGTAAATTGTGAACACCTCTAGATCCATAAAGTATTTTTGAATTGGCACCTTCTCTGAAAAACCCAGCGGGGGGTATTTGTCCCTATTGGACAGTTCTAGTTTCTTTTGTGATTTTGTTTGGCTCATAACTAGAAAACTATTAGACTTACAATCATCAAACTTGGACAATTTATGCATCTTGGGTAGAAGGTGTGTCACGACTTATTTCAAGGTCACTGTGACTTTTAATTTAAGTGATTTTTTACAAAAAAACTAAGTCTTTAAAATTTTAAATTTCATAATCCTAAAAAATGTAAAAATATAGTTGTATCCTTATTAAAAAATGTTAAATTAAGTAAAAACTTATTTTTTCATCATATACTTTACAGCAAATTCTGTAACAAATGTTAATGATTCAGGGTTCTCCACAAGGGGTTTTACCATGGCGGCCCGCCATGGTTAAATTTATGTGCGCCATGGTTAAATGAGCTGCGCCATGGTTAAAATCGGCAGCCGCCATGATTAAATTTTTTCGCATTTCAGTCCTGACACTTACTTTTTAGCTCACCTCGACGAAGTCGAGATGAGCTTATGCTATACCCCCGGCGTTGGCGTCGGCGTCCCAGGTTAAAGTTTTAGGAGCAAGTCCATTCCCAAGTAACTATAAGCCCTACCTAAACCAAACTTGCATGGATGATGCATCTAGGGATGTACACTACAAGACTTGCTTTGGATGCTGGATCTGACCTACATTTTGCAGATGAGTGATCAGGTTAAAGTTTTTGGAGCAGGTTAAAGTTTTTGGAGCAGGTCCATTCTTAAGGAATTATAAGCCCTACCCACACCAAACTTGCATGGATGATGCATCTAGGGATGTACACTACCAGACTTGCTTCGGATGCTGGATCTGACCTACATTTTCCAGATGAGTGACCAGGTTAAAGTTTTTTGAGCAGGTCCATTCCCAAGGAACTATAAGCCCTTCTCGAACCAAACTTGCATGGATTATGCATCTAGGGATGTACACTACCAAACTTGCTTCGGATGCTGGATCTGACATACATTTTCCAGATGAGTGACCAGGTTAAAGTTTTTGGAGCAGGTCCATTCCACAGGAACTATAAGCCCTATTTGGACCAAACTTGCATGGATGATGCATCTAGGGATGTACACTACCAGACTTGCTTCGGATGCTGGATCTGACCTACATTCTCATTCCCAAGTAACTATAAGCCCTATTTGGACCAAACTTGCATGGATGATGCATCTAGGGATGGACATTACCAGACTAGCTTCGGATGCTGGATCTGACCTATATTTACATTCCCAAGTATCTATAAGCCCTAGCTAAACTAAACTTGCATGAATGATGTATCTAGGGATGGTCACTACCAGACTTGCTTCGGATGCTGGATCTGACCTACATTTTCATTCCCAAGTAACTATAAGCCCTAGCTTAACCAAACTTGCATGGATGATGCATCTAAGGATGGACACTATCAGACTTGCTTCGGATGCTGGATCTGACCTATATTTTCCATACAAGAGACTTGGTTAAAGTTTTGGGAACAGATCAATCCGAATGAACTTGAAGACCTTGATATATGCAGTATTAACAGTTATGAATATTTGTTTACACTATACATATACATATTTTTCACGCTACAGGCTTAGAAATGTGTATATGCCATGTAAGGGGTTAAACACAACTTGCAAGAATATTGTTGTTGGGATGAATGCTAAATATTAAGAAAATATGATGTGAGATTTGCATTACTTAAACTGATAACATTCGTCGAGGTGAGCTTCGTAATCTTTGATTACCTATGTTTTAATGACTTGAGTAGTTAATTGTGTTTACACAACGACTGCCGTGCACCTCGCATGCCTCGAAGGAAAGCGGACTGTGCTAAACAAACACGTCGTTAATCAGCAACTATGCTGCGAAGTGTGACAATCAATGGAGAGTCAATCAGCTGATCAGATGATCAATATATTGAGAGTTAATTATCCTGTACAGATGTAAATAATTTTGTGGAACTTCAACATCTTCACTACTTGATTAGATATAGAACGAGTTTATAAAAGATGACAATTACGAGCATGATAAACGTCGTGCATGCGATTCAAGTTTTTGTGCCAGAAAAAAATACTCTGTAAAATTTTCGTATTCCTCTGCATTTAATCAATTTCCCATGCTCTGTTTTTTAAGCTTTAACTTCATTATCTTTTTGATAAAATGTGCACAGGGCCTACGTCTTAATCGCAGTCTTAGTTTTAATCGCCGTCTTAGTCTTAGATTTAGAGTTACTTCCCATTGTTATGAAACGTCGCGTGGTGTTATTTTTAGCATTGGGCACGTGGAGAAGTAAACAAAACTTGGTGAAATATGCAATATCTAAAAAAAATACAACGTTTAGAAAAAAAGGACACTGGTCCAAATGTTCCTTTGAGGATAAACATAAAAAATACTACCCATTCATCAGTTTTAGTCATATTGAAACAAAAAATTTCATACAACAGGCTACAATTCTTATAGTTATTAATTTCTGAAAAATATTGCCATGGTTACTGACTTACTGTATTAACAATTTTTCTTTAAATTCCTTCTGAAGGTTACTACAGTTTGGGGCAAATTTTGGTACATTTGTGAAGTAAAATACAGGATAATTAAATTCTTTTCAATTTAATTATTATTTTTTTAACTTTAAAAAGTGATAGTTATTCCATTGTTTTGTGTTGCAGTGGGTAAAATTAAAAATTGTAAAACCAATTATTGATTAATGAAGATTAGGAAGTCTAACACGTTTTCATGTTTTCTGCCACATTTCGCCTTCGCGCAGCTTCCTCCATGATTAAATTTTCAAATGTGGAGAACCCTGATGATTTGAGAGGAATTCAGTTTGTCCCATGGGCATAATTATCAAGCACTGGTCAAGGAGAATTTTTGATAGCAGAAATGTGCATGTCAAATTAGAGAGAAATTAATGAGTTCATTGTCGGGAGTTAACTGGCAAGAGCATCTCTAGATCTGATCATGCAGTGCTATCTTAATTTATCTCTTGGGAGTTGGGCAAAAAGAAATGGCCTTATAGTTGCTTGTGTTAAGAGTTCTTATGGCTGTAGTCGAGAGAAAGATCTTTCAATTGGTGTAATGTAATTAAAACAAATTGATGTTTTAGTGTATGATTAAAACTGAATTAGTATTGTATAATATAATTAAAATCAATTATACATGTGTTCATTGAAAAAAAATTACATTTCAATTTTTATATATTTGCAACAAATTGCAGTCATGTCTCACTTAGAATTTTATAGTCTAAAGAATAATTAATTTTTGATTTTTTTTTTTTTATTAGACTGTAGCATTTCCATTATTTCATAAAATATGCAATAAACAATTTAAAGCTGCTGTGGTGGGGCACTTTATTAGACAATAGTGAACACCTCTTACTAGATCCATAAAATATTTCTGAATTGGCACCTACTCTGAAAAACCCAGCGGGGGTATTTGTCCCTATTGGACAGTTCTAGTTGGTGCAGGTTTCATTTCCAAGTTACAATGAACCCTATAATGACTAAACTTGCATGAATGATACATCTTAGGATGCATACTACCAGACTTGCTTCGGATGCTGAATCTGACCTACATTTTCTGGATGAGTGAACAGGTTAAAGTTTTTGATGCAGGATTCATTTCCAAGTAACTATGAGCTCTTTAATGACCAAACTTGCATGAATGATACATCTAAGGTTGCATTCTACCAGGCTGACTACAGATGCTGAATCTAACCTACTTTTTTTCTGGATGAGTGAAGAGGTTAAATTTTTATGCAGGTTTCATTTCTAAGTAACTATAAGCCTAATGTTGTGCAAACTCGCATGGATGATACATCTTAGGATGCATACTAATGGACTTGCTCCGGATGCTGAATTCGACATACTTTTTCCAGATAATGGACCAGGTAAAAGTTATAGGTGCAGGTCTATTACCAAGAAACTATAAGGCTTATATAAACCAAACTTGCCCAAATGATGTATCAAGGGATGAAAACTCTCAAACTTGCTTCAGATGCTGGATTTTAATCACATTTTCGTGATGAAGAACTAGTTTGAAGTTTTTATATAGGTCTATTTCAAAGTATCAGGTCAAAATTGCATAAATTTTGCATTTTTGGATGTACACTTTTTGTTGGGTAATTGTGTGACTTTGCCTTAATTAAAGACAACATTCGTTGAGGTGAGCTCTGTAATCTCTGATTACCTATAGATGTTTTTATTTTAACTATGCAGTAAAATTATAGATAACTTCAGAAATACACTGTAAGCTGTTTTAAAGAAAAGTTCTTCTAATGTAATTATACCCCCCGCAAACGAAGTTTGGGGGGGTATATAGGAATCACCTTGTCCGTCTGTCCATCTGTCCATCTGTTTGTCTGTGCAATCGTGTCCGGTCCATATCTTTCTTACAGAGGGACATTAGAATCTACTACTCCACACAAAGATTGCCCATGACCTAAGGGTGTGTCATGACCTTGACCCAAGGTCATTTTGGGGAACTTCAAGGTCACTAGAAGAAAAATTTCATAATTCATGTCCGGTCCATATCTTTCTTATGGATAAACTTGGTAGGTTCTCATTTCACACAAAGATTGCCCGTGACCCAAGGGTGTGTCATGACCTTGACCCAAGGTCATTTGGTGAAGTTCAAGGTCACTGGAAGAAACATTTCATAATTCGTGTCCGGTCCATATCTTTCTAATGGATAAACTTGGTAGGTTCTCATTTCACACAAAGATTGCCCGTGACCCAAGGGTGTGTCATGACTTTGACCCAAGGTCATTTGGGGAAGTTCAAGTTCACTGGAAGAAAAATTTCATAATTCGTGTCCATTCCATTTCTTTCTTATGGATAAACTTGGTAGGTTCTCATTTCACACAAAGATTGCTCATGACCCAAGGGTTTGTCATGACCTTGAGCCAAGGTCATTTGTTGAAGTTCAAGGTCACTGGAAGAAAAATTTCATAATTCGTGTTTGATACATATCTTTATTATGGAAAAATTTACTTCTGAAAAAAAGCCAGCGGGGGGTATTTTGTCCTGTTTTGACAGTTCTAGTTTCTTTCATAATTTTGGTAGTATCATTTAATAAATGTAATTTTTCTTTGGCATCAATTACAAAAGTGCACAAGTTTCGTTATTTACTCTGTATTACAGAACCAATGAAAGGAGCTGTACCACAGCAACTCTATAGAAACCCTGCCCCAGGTCAGCAGATGACTCCAAAGCAGGCAAGCTCCACTGTGTCAGGGGGCCCCAGGCCTCAATACTTCCCAGGACAGCAACAGAATGTGTACCAGCCCCCTGCTGCTGTGAATCAGTTTCAGGGAGCTCAGCCAGGACAGTATCAAAACCCTAGTGGCCCCATGTCACAAACAAACTATATGCCCCAGCAACAAGTTGTTCCCCCCCAACAACAGGCAGTGGTGCAACAAGGGGTGGTGCACTCTCAACAACAAAGAGTGGTGCACCCGCAGCAACAAGGAGTTATGCCCCCTCAACAGCAGGGAGTGATGCAACAAGGGGCAGTACGTTCTCAACAACAAGGAGTGGTTCACTCTCAACAACAAGGAATGGTTCACCCTCAACAACAGAGAATGATGTACCCTCCACAACAAATGAACTATGCACAACAACAACAACAACAGCTGTATTATCAGCAGCAGAATCCAGCTAATGTGACACAACCCACGCCTGCTCAGAGTCGTGCGTCCCAGCAGGCAGTACCCCAAAGTCAAGTAACACACTCCACAAGTAATTCTCAGATATACCCCCCTCAATCTAGTCAGGAAACTGAGGCCCAGAGGCAGAGAATGGAACATTTTGTGCAGCTTCAGGACTCCACGAATGTACAAAATAATGCTATAAAAAATGATGTATTTAAAAAACCCACTGTGCCACATTCCAAACCAAGAAGTGAAACAAAAGAAAATGTAAGTTCATTTAAATCGGCATCTCTGTGTTAGGTACTCTATGTACAAACAATTTGTAATTTTATATTCATTAGTTCCTGTGTATTTTTATATTGAATACATGTATTTGAATATTCTTAAATACAGTAATTAAGTTATTTGATTATAAATTCATATTTTTTAGATGGTAGATAAAACTGAATATTGATGAAATTTAAACTTTACACATTATATATGCTAATGTAATGATATTTCAGACTGATTCACAACCCCTGATCTCCATTACACCTCCTCCATGTTCCCCCAAGCCTCACAAAACTCACAAACGTAACGTTAGTGACACGGCCTACCTCACCATGGGAGGAAAGGGCAGTGCTTTCAAGTACGTCAAACTAATTTATAAGTCTCCTGTAGCAAATATATTTTAATAAATTTTATAGAAGAATATTAAAACTATTCACTAAAATTATCTTAATTGATTATCCCATGTAAAAGCTTTAAAAAAAATGTTGAAAAAAAAATCAAGGAAGTAATATATTTCTATATGCATGTACGAGGGTTGTTAGAAAAGTTCGCGGACACATTGAATTACGGAAAATCTATTGTGTACTGTGAAGTATGACCTATGTCTGAATAAATTCCTACATTTTGTTTATTAGTATGTAAAAAATCAGGTCCATTTACTAAAATCTTGAAAATTTACAACGATTTTTACTATGATGTCATAGGATTCACGGAGCAATCCCTTGACGTAAGGCGACGTGACAACCAGATTTCGATCCGTTATGCACTGTCGCAGTTCTATAAATCTTTCCTTTCTTCAGATTTTTCTTATCTTTTTTCTACTTTAATACATGTATTGAACATCTATATCAAGACATGTTACCTTTCTACTATAATGTCTTTTGTAATTTGGATTGTATTGATTCGGATATTTTTTAGATCTTTAAAAACGTCTATGCAGTAAATTGATCAGGTTTGAAAACTACAAAACCATATAGGCACAACGTTCATGCGATAAGAGGGTATTGAAGTATCGATGGAGTTAATCATTCAAAATGTTAATCCTTCCATTTATATGAAGTCACAATCATTTGAAAACTTTTGTCCTTTGTGTGTGTAGGAAATTTCCGGCAGCATCTTGAAAATTTCAATCTCTTTTTAGACATTTTACTGTCTACACATATAATTTTTACGTAGTGCAGTGCTCCATGACGCTCAATGACGTTCCGATTTTGGCTGTGTTTTTACGTGTTGATCATTTATAATTGGCTATAACACAGTCATATACCCTCCAATTTAATTCAAAATTTCTCCAAGTGACGTTTCATGAAAACTTTAGCGATAGGTAAAATATCATAAATCTCTTTGCGCTACAATTGTGCTATTTTTAATTTTAATCAAGAGTCTTTGTAATGTAAACATGCCAAAATGGAGCATGCTCCATGAAGCAAGATTTATCAAAATAAAAAAGCCGTTTATTTTTCAATGATCACCGGAGAGTACCAAATTTTTGTATATTTATTGGAAAATAGGTTAGGATTTTATCTGGAAAGTTTGACCGGTTTCGTGGAAATAGCGCGCTCACAATAGAACTTGTCCGCGAACTTTTCTAACACCCCTCGTACATGGTAACAAAAATGGAGTTAAAAGATCTTCTTTCAATGCATTTGTTTAATTTCACAATTTTGAAGGTGTATTTAGAGAAATTGTGATTGATGTGCTCTTGTAATACATTCATTATGTTGGTCACTTTATTGTGTAGGGCATATCACTCCAATAGGAACTACCTGCCAGCTCCCCAGCACAATAAGTGTAAATCTGCCTCCACCACCCCCATACACTCTCCTCCAAGGTAAGTCTTTCTTGGGATAAAAAATATTTAATGTTTCAGTCAGAGAGTACTCTGTGGATAAACCAGATCCTTGTATCTGTTCCAGAGATGGATGTGGCAGACAGTATTGTACTAAAGAGGATAGTAATATTGTTTAATACTTCTGTTTATTTTACTGAAGGTCTCCAGGTATGACACGAGCTGTATCAGCAGATATAGCAGAGTGGAATCCATTCGATGACAACTTTGGAGTAGACACAGAAGAAGAATTATTTGGAAAAGAGTTCGACAAACTAAGGAGAGGATCAAACAGCAGTAAGGGGTGGTATTTGTAGTCAAAGGAAATATCAAGCCAATTATCACTGATGCTTTAATCTGCAGTATGGCAGTGAACATTCATGGAAAATTTAACAGCGGTCCTTTAAAGTGACAGAAATGGTGATGGGATGTAATCTTTGTTTTTAGTTCTGTTTCATGAAAAAACTTCCAATCCTTCATTCTAGGTATATCAAATGTCAAGAGTAGAGAAGACCTGGTCATGTCAGGGTCGGATTCTTCTGATCCATTTGAAAAAGCACCCTTTAAAAAGCCAGGTATATATTTCAGATCAGCCTTACATATTTATACTTGTTTCTTTATTTTTGAAGGTTTCCATGGTGTATATGTTTGTCTAGATTTTTAATTTATTATTTTAAATTCTGTAGATCACTATTTTGTCACGGGACCTTATTTTCATGAGAAAGATATTTGTTAAAAGTGAGACAAATTTTTCATGAGTTATGGTTTTTGATGTTCATATAATCCCAACTAATACAAATATAGGCAAAAAGGAAATTTTTGTGTGCAAACAGACTCGCATAAAGGTGCAAAAATAAAGATCTCATGATTAAAATGTGATTTACAGTATCCTTTTTATTTGGAAAATGCAGTATAGTTCATACAAATATAAAGATTACAAAAATGTTACCATTTTCTGTTCGTTATACATATTCACCTACATATATGTACAACTTACACTTTGAAAGAATATCTTTATTTAAAGTTTAAAAACATTGTAGGAAAAATTGTATACAACTTCATATCTGCTGCAGTTTATAGTTTCATCTCAGGAAAATATGATAATCTTACAAATAATTGTCTCAGAAAAAAATAAACTTCAGCAAATTCCAAGCTGATACATTTGTTAATGAGTTGATTAGCTTGGTCCTGGACAATGTTTATTCCAAAATACTCTCCTTAAATAGTATTTTGTTTTTGTTTGCATGAAAATTATTGATATTTTTTGTCCCCCTAGTAGAAATTCAAATTATTTTGCAGTGTTGTGCTTTACCCAAGTTTATCAGAATTGTCTGCTAAAAAAAAACCTATAACTTAAATTTTTAGCTATTCTTGTGTATATATATGTACATTTTATATTTGAGGAAGTCATCTTCATAATGAATGATAAAAAAAAAACAGAGATGGTCACTAATAAAATTTCATTATTTATGACTTTATTAACAAGGAAAAACAGTTTCTCCCTTACTTAACAAAAGACGTACACTCCATGTAATCAAATGCATTTTTAGTTCAAATTTAACATTTGCAATAACTTTTCTCTGCCTTGTTTTGTTCAATTAAATCTCTTTCTTTCATAGAGTGGCTATTATTTGAGCATATTGTAGCATTTTAGAACATTTTTTTCCATTGTTTTTTTGCATGCATTGCATGACTTTGGCTGAGTTCCATTTTGTACTACAGGTCATGTTCGGCATGGCAGCAGCTCTGGTAGTGAACCCCATAGAAGTGCCAACAGTTCCCGATCAGGAGGTAAAGGTCACATGTAGGACTCCCAGCATGCACCAGAGCCAATCAGCTCATACTTCCTGTGTAGGCTTGTTAGGAGTCTCTGTTCTCCGTCCCCCTCTCTTTGGTGGTTTGTTATTAGGGTAAACAGGTCAGAGCCTGTTTTTCTCTGATGACTTAGGTCCCCCTTTAACGTTGAGTTCCTGTTTTGAATTATTCCAGAACACAGACATAAGAGAAGGTACTCTCTTCCTTCGTGGAGGCCGCAGGGCGTGTGTTGTTCTCCTCTTGTGGAGGAGCTATAGACATTTATTCGGGTGCAAGCCACAGACCAAAGACTATTGTAGTTTACAATGTGATTTTTTGTTTTACTTGGTGAAGCTAGAATGTATTTTTTTAAATATACAGTGTATGTACGGCAGACTTCAACAAAAAATGTTTTTCATACTTAACTTATACAGCTGATTTAGTACTGAGAACTGTAAGTTTGGTAATTACATGTATATGGTAAAATTTACAAAGAAGACACATGTAGGTTGTAGAAATAGGAATAAATATAGATTTAAAGAGGGATAGTAAATACAACTGATACTTTATATACAGTGAATAGGTTAACAGGGTTTGGCTTTTGTGCAGGTTGGCTTCAATGAACCTTTACATGATCCATAACATAGTATTACTCTGACAAGGTGATGACAATATTTTTACTTGTGGTATTACTTTTGAGAGTTGGGATTATTTTGTGATATTTTTTTTTAACTTGCCATAGTGAGGTTGATGTTTTTCTGATGACTTGTCCCATCAATGCCTGTCTCAGTGGTCAGACTGCAATCTTAACATCAGCATGACTAAATTAAATTGTACATACTTTTTGAATCATTGATTTTACAATGTTTTTGTTATCCATTTTCATGTTTATCACAAAACAGTGCTGTTTTAATTCATTCTTTTACATTTAATCCATGATGGGTCATTCACTCTTGCTTTTCGACTTTAATTCATTTCTTTTAGTTTGACACAAAAATGGCTCGTTTTTTATGTTGTTCAATATTTTTGTTGTTAAGTAACTGACTTCCAGACTGGCGGCAATTCTAGTCAAGCATGTTTTATGTGTGTGGGCGTATGTGTGCTTGTGGATGGTATGGAAATCTAAGAATTTGACTGTTTTAGAGATGGCATGTAGTTTACGATGCAATGTATGTTTTAACTTTTTGTCAACAAATGGCATTTTAGACATAATTAAGCTTTGAAACCAGATTTAAGGAAACCCAAGAGAATTTTATTACATGGAGTCACAGATTTAATGTATGTATTAAAAAAGCACTGTGTGCCAGTTTATTGTTAAATGAAGAATTCAAATAATTGACTTTTAATCAGTTTTTACAGATATTTTATCTTAATTGTATAAACTGTATGAAAACCTTGTTTCAAAACTGGGTATTTGTGAAGTTACAAGGAATGTATCTGGTTTCAAAAAAGCTTACTTAAATGAGATCATTATTAAAAAGATAATTTCTGTGGAAAGAATTCATTCAAAAAGGTGATTTTGTCAGCAGTTTTGAAACAAGGTTAATAGCATCATACTGGACAGTGCAATGAATATGTGCAAGAAATATTTTGTCATTGAAAAGATACACTATTGTGTTTCTTCATTATTGAAGATTTGTTTATAATAAATTGGGAAATCTTTTTAACTTTTTTCTTCTGTTTTCAAAACTGCTGACAAACTTTGGTGATGGTTGAATGGGTTATTTGTTTATCTAATGTGTGGTCAGGGGAACACTTTCAATACATCCTGATTTCATGCATATAAATGGGTCAGAATAACCTACATGAAATTGAAATACTCAGATAGCCTGGACTCTGTATTGCACCTTAAGTAATTGTTTGTATCCAGAACACATTATGTGGTGTGTAAGACAAAGCATGTATTGCTAAACCTAGATTGGATTTAATGACCACACTTTCAAACCAGTCATGATAACCTCCCTATATAAAGGATGTTTTGTACATCTCGCTTAGATATTCTCTAATTTCTACAAAAATGAAATTGAGAAGAATGGTGAAAAATGTCCATAATTTCAGAGACAAACATTTGAAAGAAAAGTTTTCTCAGAATGCTCTTAAGACTATCAAATTATGTTAATAATATCTTTATTAATGAGCTTCAGAGGTAATGCATTCTTATCATGAATAAATATTTTTCCAATGGACATTTAGAAGACAGAGCTGGGTATATTTTATTGGTTTGTACTGTCTATTTCCCAGTGAGTACAAGAAAAGATTTTCATATAGTGTCAGAGGAATATTAAATCTTGTAGCTCTGCACAAGGTATGATGCATGCCATCACTACAAGCATGATGTGGCTCTCCAAACTTGATAAATATTTTTCATTTGAAATATACTGAAGATTTATTATTTTTAAACATTCCTTTATGGAGGACAAACAAATACGGTTTAAATCAAAATAGATAATACTAATTAGTATTTTATTGAGCTGACACTTACTATTGGTATTTTCTTTCTTTAGATGAAGATGATTTACCTAAGAAAGTAGATCAAGTGGACAACTCTAGTAATCAGTTCTTCCCTGCGACACTGATGAAGGCCGCCCTGAGTCTGGGCTCTCGCTACCAGAAGTTTGTGGACACTGACGAGGATAAGGAAGAAAAAACATCAGCTGTGAGGGAGTCGGCTGAATCAAAGCACAAGGAACACGAATCAAGTTCTTCTTACGCCGAGGATGATCACCCCATCAATCAAGTTCAAAACACAAAGAAAGACTTCAGTTATCAGGAGCTGGATGATGAGTATGGGAGTCGACCTGTCCCTGTTACATCTAAACGCAAGGAAGGGGAGTGGAACATTGAAAATGAACAGAGTCAGAGTAATGCAACTTCAGTTCCGGGACAAGGCCCGCTACCGACAGACAGGATTATGGGACATGAGTACGGAGTGAGGCCTCTGCTTGATGATGATGAATTGGAAGATGACTTTAGACCGCCTCACTTCCACGGCAGTGTGGAGATCGGCTTCTCACACGAACACGATAGTGATGACAGTCATGAAGGGAGTAGCAACAGTACAATGTCCCCGCAGATAGGACTTAGTCCTGCAATGTCTCCAACGGTTAATGACAAGGAAAAAGGTGACCCATTTACTGCTGCTCCATTTAGGAAAAGATTTTCAAAGAAAAAAACTGTAGCAAATAATGTTTCATCTGCAAAATCTTCCACCAAAGAATATGATCCATTTGCTAAGGCTCCATTTCATCCCAACTTCCTACCAAAGTCTAAAACGCATCATTCTGTGGGAGGAGGGTCAAGTCCATTATTACAAACTAATGAGGACAAGAGGAAAGTGGAAGTGAGCAAGGACTTAGCTTCAAGTATTCCATATGCAACTCTTCCAAGAAAATCAAACTCACGCATTCTATCTGGCTCGTCTTCTGTAGGCATGTCTCCTGATAGGGAGAAAGCTTCTACTGACACATTATTTACAGCGGATCCCATGTACACAAAATCCAGTCATTCCAGTGTTAAGGGCAGCTCCTCTGTACAGTATCACTCACTGACGACCGACGATCCATTCCAATCAGTTCCATTCAAAGCCAAATTAAAAAAGACCAGATCTACAAAAGAGTCCATTAACATCATGGACATGGCAATACCACCTACGGAACCAGCAAAACCAGTGCAAGAAATCTCAAAAAGATCTACTCCATCTAAGACCAGTATACCCAAATCTCATTCCTTTGGGTCAATGGGCTCCATAACACCCTCCAAACCCAGCAGACCCCTCCCTTCTCGGACATCGGGGGACAGGTTATACCAGCAGTTAGAGGAGCTGACCATTGACAGGGAGGAGAGACATTACACCAATGTCAGCTCACAGCCGGGCGATCATCTTATCACCATGGATGACTCCTCTGATGACAGTTACGAAAGTGAACTTTCCAAATCAAAATCCAAAGGAAGGAAAAGTCCAAAAGATTACATGGAATCTGGATTTTCCAATATGAGTTTTAATGATGATGAACTCGCAGAGTCTATGGACTCTTTTTCTTCTCAGACTGCCCATGTTAGAGATCTCAATATTGCAAGTATACGACACCCAGCATTCTCTAAAGAAAACTCCCCAGTAACGAAAGCATCGACTGAGGCATTGAAAGTTAGTTCCGGTGGTTATGACACTTTTACATGGCCTAGGAAACAGAGAAAGTTAGCAACAAACGAACCCTTTAGCTCGAAAAAGAAGATAGATGCTGTTTGATAATGGAGGATCTGTTTTTATTTATTGTTAAATCTAGGTTGTTCCATTAGATATGTGATATATTCCACTTACATACACTGTATAATTATTGTTATCTTTTCTTCAGGGTACACTCAGATTCCTGGGTACCTCTCCTTCTTTTTTGTTTACTTTTTACTTAGATATTGATATTTTATTATTCTTTTGCTTTCTGTTCCAGTTACACTTTATTGTATAAGAGTGATGTTGAAGGTAATCTATGCATTTTTTAGAGGTAATAATTTTTTGCTTTCTCTGTGTCAGAGATATTGTAATAATATTTTTCTTCCCAAAGCAGAGGGTTCTGCTAATTGATATTTTTTTTTAACATTTTTTTTAATATTTTGTAATAGTAAGAGCTTGATTAGTAGGCAAATCCAATGCTTGGGTAAATTGACTTAAGTTTACTTCCAGCAAGACTGCAGAATGCTTGTAGGTGCTATAACTTATTGGTGGAAGTGATTGTTTCCAAAATTCTCCATTATGTTTTCTTTAGTTTTATGTTTCTGGTTTTTTTTCCTGTTATTACAGTAGTACTTGTTTTACATAAACATCAAGATTCTTCAAATTCCAGAAAAGGAGACTTTTCTTTTTCAGTCTTTGTAACTTATAACATTGTTTCGTCATTTAGAAAAATATTTTTTTTAACTTTAAGAAAGGGTAAATGTGTTCAGCATTCTTGGAATGAGAAATGTTATTTGCCTAAAGTAAGTAAGAAAATTTATTTGAAATATAACACAATCTCGTGACAAAGATACAGCACAGAGGATCTTACTTCTGTAGATTCTCTTCTCAGAAATTATCCTTTTAAAATTTGTTCTGCATTTTAAGCAATAAACTTGAAATAATTTGAACAAGATCCTGCTATATTTTTTTTCATTTTCAGCAATATCTTTTTGTAATGCTAATTTATTTTGTATTATACAGTAGTCATCAAACTGTGATATTTAATCCTTTTGTTTATTCTGTTCACTGCTGTAGTTTTAATAATTTGATTTTTTCATTGTTCCATCCATTTGTCGATGTTGAGAAATGTACATACTTTTATGGATATGAATAAATCTGCTAGAATGTTAATTCTCCTTGATGACTGTAGAGTGGTACAGTGTTAAAAGATTGAGATATTGTATACAGGGTTATTTTCGCCCCTTGCTATTTTCGCCCTTTTGCACTTGCAAACAGTTTTGCCCCATTTTAAATTTTCCCAATCATACTTCTGTTTAAGAAATTATGCTGTTTTCTTTGAATTCGCTCTGTTTTAATTCGCTCAACCGTGAAGAGGGCGAAAGGGGCAAAAATTAAATGGGGGCCAAAAATTTCCCTGATACAGTAGACATGCTGGCATTGTCTTGGTAAATATATTCAGTATAAAAGTAGAGGCCCACACGTACAATATACTCTTTAGGAATAAAACATGTTGCAATATTAGTTATCCAGGTTCAGTCAAGGGTATACAGGGATTTACATCAGGTTTTATTCCATACACCCTGAGGCCGAAGGTAGTTTGGAATACAATCTGGGGTAAATCCTGGTACACCCTTGATTGGACCTGGATAATGAATTTATTTCCTATGTGCCCATAAAAATTCTTTGTAAACGTCAGAGTCTAATTAACTGTGTCTCAATTTATGGATAAGATAACTACATATTACAATGCATCGTGACATCATGTTATTTGGTTTTAGTCAGAGAGAATGTATGCATTGTGACGTCATGTTCTATTTACCCCCAGCTCAACTCGGGCCTGGGGGCCATAAAACTTTCCTATGAGCTCTGGCACTTTTGATCTCAGTCTCACTCTGTTCCAAAGGAATTAATAATGGAAAAGTTAGACTGAGATCAAAAGTGAGTTGTTAAGTTTTATGGCCCCCAGGCCGGGTGCACAGAAAATTACACCCAAGGTAAATATTTTTTTATAACGAAGCTTCACCATCTGTACAGGGCCCAAGGCCATCAACTAAAAGAACATATTTTCATGATGCATGCACATTGAAATTCACTGTACATATTAGACATGTAAGAAATCCAAATAAAAACATTCTGGAAAACACAGAAAGTAAGAATCTGTGTTAACAGAAGGATGAATCCAATGACTAGTTTTCCGCCAAAGTTCTACTGTGTTTTGGTTTTTGATCTTGATGAGCAGTGTTGCTGTGGTTACTAAGAATAGCAATTTCTGTAAAGTTCTTTTGAAAGCTATGCCTCCTACAGTTTTAGTCTGATTGCAATTTTTCCATGAAAAGAGACTAAATCAAGGATCGTTTTCCTAGTTGCATTTATTGCTGACTACAAGTTTCAAGCTAATTCGCATTCTTCCTTTGTTATAAAACAAAACCAGTAGAGCTACAGTCTTCACAGTCTTCTGTTTCAAAAGTTAACATTCATGTTTTCACATGTATAAATATTTAGTAAAAGTTGTGTTTTTATGCCCCCCGTAGCGAAGAGTCGTGGTATATAGTTTTTTCCCTGTCCTTCCATCTTTCTGGACAGATTTTTTTCTTGGCCTACTGTTGAAAAACTTTAACATTGTCCATAACTTTTGAACAGTTGGTACTAGGGTTGCCATATTTTTTGCATGTATATTTCTGTGTACAATTAATTATAACCTTGACCTAGGAATTTTACGCACTTTAAGAAAACATTAAATTGACAGTAATTTTTGAGAGGGTTGTGCCTGGGCTTTCATATTTACCAGGTATATCCATTAACACAACTTCTTTTGGGTAGCAATCATTTTTTTATCTCTTGTCCTTTTAGTTTTATCCACCTTTAAAAAAATCTTGAATCTTGGCCATAACTTTCGAAAAGTGTTAGAAAAAGTATTAGACTACGGATTTCAGATTTCTCATGTATATTCCATGTGACAAGACCTTCCTTTTGATACCAACAATTTTGACCTTGATCTTGGTCTACATTTCTTTTAGTACTTTGTAACATTTTTGTTCTCTGACCTTGGAGTTTGACTTGCATTTTGAGAAACTTGAATCTTCGCCATAAGCTGTCATACAGGGGAATCAGTTTTTCACATACACATATTGCTTACTTGAAAAATAAACCCTTTTACACGTATTACTAGTATTGTGAAGTGTTATTTCACAAATTAAAGGTATATATGTCATTATATGGCGTATCTGAGCTATGAAAAAAAAAAATACCCCCCCCCCCCCCCCCCCCCAAAAAAAAAAACGAGATCAAAATGTATATTTTATTAAGGACATTGGCAACGTTTCTGGTTTTCGTATAGAATTTTTCAAGATTTTTTGAACAGGTTTAATGGTACCAAACATGTTCAATTCAGGTCCTTTTTACCCATCAAGCCAGCCTTCCTTTAACGATTTTTTCAAATCAATGTTTTTACAATTTTCAATGCATTTCCTATGTAAAATGTTGATAAAATGGGCCTATATTATTTTTAACCATACGTTTTCTCTAAAACCCATTTATTTCATAAGGTTTATACATAAAACACATTGTTGAAACCTTATTTCCGATGACATGCATATAATTTGGCTGAAAATGCGAATATTGAAACAAAACACAGAAATACCAGCACTGTTCTTTAATTTTGAGTTACTTCCCTTTACTGTAATAACATCTAATCAATATTCATAATGATCAAGAGAGTGGTTGTTTGTTTCTATTCTATAATTTACTTAATTGGAAACGAACTGTCAAAAAACATTTTTGCAAGGATTTATAGTAACTTTTTAATGGTGCATCATTCACATAACCTATGGAATCGTTCTCATTCGGTCCACCTAGCTATCAACACTTTCAGCATAATTATTTCACACCTTTGCACTTCCCAGAAATCATTTACCTATTCTAAATGACGACCTGTTAACTGTCTGCCCTCTCAACACAATGTAAACAAACCCATCGTTGCTTTTCTTTTATTACTGTAGAGTTGAATACATCCGATAAAAAAACACATGTGCTTTTGTTTACCTCTCAGTCTGTTACATATGCTTTCTTTGTTTTCAACGCCTAGAGAATTCCATACGGGAGATCACTCTCAATGACTTTTTTTCATAAGAAACCTGGGTATAAACCATTTTTCTCCGAAAACCCTTCGTTGCCAATGACCTTAAGATGATATTTGCTATACGTCCAAATTAATTGTTTCCCCGATTTTGAACTTAAATATCCCCTCGTTTCTATTGGTCAAATTGACTTTAATGTGTCTGATATTTTTATCCGAGTTGGAAATAAATCGGCAATATGTTTTAAATCTCGGATATCTATCAAACGCGATTGATTTAAACTGTGAAAAGGAGTATTCCACTTAAGTATAGTAGTGTGGTCCCTTTTTACACCCCTGGTTTACTGGATAGATAGTAACAATGGGTATTTTGTTTGATTTCATTGAGTATAACAAAGTATTTCTAATACAATCATAGTGCATTCATAATGAACTGTTAAACATATCAAAAAATATGCCGGAACTTTTCCCCTCCATCAGACAACGGTTTTTCTGTTACATGTAAATGGGCGGAGACATTTAGATTAGATACTATAAAATGAATATCCGTGATATATAATATTTTCCTTTCAAAGACGAGTTGTATGTTCAAGATTCAGAATCAACAACAAATACAATTTTCTATTCACAAAACGCTAGCAATGTGAATGAACCACTATAACAAGATTAACCAAACACGTCCATATGCTGACCGATACATGATCGACTGAGTACATTTCAACTGAGTGCTTGCTAGCACGTTTACCGTGGGCATTTACCTGTATAACGACACAAATCCACGTGGCTTGTTGTGATTCGAAACAGGATATAAAGAGGTTAATCGCATGTAAATGAAGACAGCGAAGAGGTTCAAATTCACAATACTTTTAATTAGAAAACATAGGGCACAAAGTTGTTCAACAAAGATATTTTTACTCAATCTTTACACATATAATATACACATTATATATCAAACTCAACTCTGAACAAATCTGTGCTCGATGTTTACGAAAGCTTGAAAGTGTGTACCTGTCAGTGATTTCTTTTGATATTCATGAAAATCAAAGGACCCTAACTTCAAAACGCAGCTTCGTATGCTGTGTATATCTATTATTTGACATTTTTAGATGAAGATTCAAATAATAAAGACATTACTTATTAACAATATCTAATTTTTAAAGCCTTTTATAAATGTTCGAAATTTCACGAGTAACCGGGGACCACAGATAAGACTTAAATGAGACTTGTCCTTTACAGGCTATAGCTATCTTTATATGAAGTAATAAAACTAATAAAAGATCTTTTCTGAGTGTGTCTGAACTTATCAAAAATACGCCATAAATGACTTTAACACCAAAGATTTTTTGAAGAGGGAGGGGCACATGTTTTACAGACAAGTGCAAAAATTGACCATTTTAACCAATTTCTATTAGATGCAGCCTAAGACATAGCATTTTTTTTTAAATCTTAACAATACTTGAGGCGGGATTGTTTAACATGCACCTTACAAGTTTTTATAGTCTAGATTTGTAGATTATGTATTAAAATGGAATGCATTTGTTGTTTTGACATTGACGATTCATATTTCCCGCTATCGTGACTCTCTAGTAGTAGGAGGCGAAAAGTTGGAGGCATCGACTTCCGTTACTATGATTGTTTTCAGTTTTGTTTTTATGTAGGTGCTTGTTTGTACACATTGCAAGCACATGCCGATCAGTCGGCGTTTTATTAAGGACATATCGAATGTCATTCACGATGGGTCGCATAGGAAATGTAGAGCATGTAAAAAACAGACAGGGAACCATAAAAAGCACGAACTCTTATCACATCCTGGATATAGAGATAGATGGCAACATTAATGCATGCTCTAGCAATATTTGTGATGTGTCGGATAGAGACATACAACTCTACAAATATACAGACATTCCAGATTTCTTACAGGGAAATCCTTATGTTACTCAGGGTTACAGGGTGATGCTTCCATTTAGTCTATGTTTGAAAAGGTATCTAATAATGAATTGCTATAATATTATCATAATGTATTATTATATATTATATCATCATAATGTATCAAAAAATGAAATATTATCTCTGCAAATTCTTTTTGTTGCAATAAATATTAATAGAGCATATTTTCAATTATTGCAAAATGTTTATCTATTTCATGTATTTTAATGTCTTTTTTATCAGTATATTTGTTTGGAGCAATGAGACTCTGAACATCTGGACCCACCTCCTAGGTTTCCTGGTGTTCCTGCTACTGATGCTGTATGACAACCTGATAGTTCTACCTCGAACCAACAGTTTCTTATCAGATTATGTGGTGGTTACGCTTGGTTTATTATGCTACCAGGTAAGATTGTGCGCAGTTATAATACCCCCAGGTTATATTATGTGTTGGTTATGCTTGATATACTATGCTATCAAATAAGTTGATATAATATGTACCCAATCGACTTTCTGTAGCTGTTGATTTCTACTCATAATGATGTGTCTCCTTTTCTGAAAATACTGATATGTACCGGTATACTAAGTGTAACTGTAAAATCATTAAAAGATACCTCTAGTCCATTGATGAATTTTCCATGTCAATTTATGTTTTGTAGATATGCATGCTGTGTTCGGTAGGTTTTCACATGTTCTGTTGCCACTCAGAGCGAGCCAGTCGTCGATGGTTAGCTGTGGATCTGACAGGGATATCACTGGGTGTTATTGGCTGCTATTTACCAGCAGTTCATTATGCATTTTATTGTTTGTCTGTAAGTCATAAGTTTTATTAATGAATTTGTAAGATTTTTAGACTAATAATACTTAAAAGTGAACAACACACAATCATATTAATTCTACCAGTAGCACCAGGATTATGGATATAATTTAGTGTCATAATAACTGATTACATCATAGAGATACTGAGATAGAATATCAGATTATTTAGTAATCAAGAAATCTCTTCTTGTCCAGTTGGCAGTGAAAATAGACTTGATTAGAGATGGAATAATTAATGGAGTTCCTTATAAACCATTTCAACACAAGCCTCTAAATGGATTTTACTGATAATTTACTAAATTCAGTTTACACTGGTCATTAGCTTTTTAACATAAACATCATGTCTCATAATCAAGATCACAGTGTATTCAGTCATTTTAGAAATGTTTTTGAAGTCCTTGGACTTAATAAATTTGCATTTTTTCAGGTGTGGAGAGACATTTATTTTATCATCATCACCATTTTAACAGTTAGCACCATAGTGATACAACTCCATCAGAAATTCTTCTCACATGGCTGGTTTAGGTATAGAATCCTCATCTACGTGTTCCTGGTTGGGTACGGTGTTCTACCCACAATGCACTGGATTTATCTCAATGGAGGACTACAAGCTGAAATAGTACAGGTAAGGGCATTCTCTGATTCCACACTGTAAGAATGAAAAAAATCACAAAATTTAGTGCATTGGAGAGAGATTGACTTAAATATTACAAATCTCTTAATTTTTAAAGATTCAAAATGGCTCATTATTTTTGGGGACTACTGTAAAATCACATATTTTCATGGGGGCAAATAAATTTTACATTTTGTGGCGGGCATGAATCCATGTGTCTCTTTATACCTTGAAAACAACAAAATATTACCCCCCTCGAAAATTAGTGATTTCACAGTATATGTACTGTGTGTATGTTAATGATGAAGATTATCCTTCATTATGCAGTGGTTATGATAAGATAAATATTATATTTAATGAAAATAAATATTAGGGTAAAAAAATCTTTCTGTTGTGAAATTTTGTACTATATGATACATTGACTTATCAGAATAAATCAATAATGTCTCAACCCTAAAAATGCTAAAATACATGTATGTATTATCAAACAGCGTACTGAATGCAATTTATTTTTTTTCTTCAGATGTTTGTTCCAAAAGTGATGACCATATATTTTACCGGAATTTTAGCCTTAGTGTTTTATTTAAGTAAATTTCCAGAAAGATTTTTACCAGGTAATTAAAAAAAAATCTTAGTCTGTTTTAATTTTACTTAATTTCTTTTTATAGTTTGAATGTCCTTAATCTCTGTCTGTTTTATTTGTAGGTACCTTTGATTATATTGGATCTAGTCATCAGTGGTGGCACATAATTGTTGTGGGGGCTTTTCTGTACTGGCATTACGCTGGACAGGAAATCTTACTTTACAGACAAAGTCACCAGTGTCTCGTTTAATCTCTATTATACATATGTACTGTGATACTCTGTGCAATGTTTTGTTAGTGTATAAGTGAAATAAATATTTAATCTCTGAGCAAGTGTCAATTCTTAAATAAGTGTATCTGAGTATAATCTCCAGTACTTAAGGACCCAAGATGTATCAGCTGACAATGTTTGATGAATCTAAGCCAATTTAATATCTGAAATATTTAAATTTACCCATGAAATTCCAAAAGTACTTTTTGGTTGAAACTTTTCACATTTTCATCTTCTTAAGAACCACTGGGCCAATTTTAACCAAATTTTCCACAAAGTATCCTTTGGTAAAGGGGATTCAAGTTTGTACAAATGAAGGCCACACCCTTTTTCACGGGGAGATAATTATGAATCGGTGAAAATTTAATGGCATCTTTTAAATCTTCTTAAAAACCACAGGGCCAGGAAAGGTGAAACTCATGCGGAAGCATCCTCGGGTAGTGTAGATTCAAGTTTGTTCAAATCATGACCCGCAAGGGTAGGGCGGGGCCACAATGGGCGATTTTAAGTTTTACGTAGGATTACTGGTAGATTGGCAAATTCTTTTAAACTCTTCTTCTCATGAACAGCAAAGCCATGATTATCATACTTATATGGAAGCTTAAGTAGTGTAGATTCAAGTTTGTTCAAATCATAACCCCTGGGGGTGGGATGAGGCTACAGTGGGGGATCAAAGTTTTACACGTCACAGGTGGTGAAAAATCAGGTCTCAACCGGGACTTGAATCCAGGGCCTCTGGCGTACAGTGCCAGTGCTCTAACCACTGAGTATCTGCAGAACTGTAGCTCTCCCAAAAATATTTTGACAGACCAGAGAGCTACAGTGCCACCCATTGAAAAAACTGTATATTTATTGCGCACAAAAAGTTGAGCTTGGTTATGGATTAATTCTTCCAGATTCTTACCTCAACTGCAAAAAAATGAGATTTCAAAAATTCCGTACTCCTCTATCAAATACTTTTGAAGTTGACATCTACATGAAGTGTATTGGGCCGAACTATCTTGCAATCCAAAATGGCAGTATAAATATACGAAATTGTTGATGATCTCGATTTCAGGGCCAGGAGGGCTATTAACAATTATACAGTATGTTTTGTTGTGGAAACAGTGAAAAAATGTGTTAGGAACACATGGTTAGTAATATTTTGAGATGATAATTTTAAAAACATTGAGAAATAAATCGATAAACAGCGCACTTTTTTGTGCACAATAAATATACAGTTTTTTCAATGGGTGGCAATGTAGCTCTCCGGTCTGTCAAAATATTTTTTTGGAGAGCTACAGATCTGCAGCTAACCACTGAGATATTGAGACCCAATATATTGACTGACTTTCACACACCTTTGAACCCAGTGACACACACAAGTTCAAGGTCACTGACTAAAATGTAAAACTTGTATGACCCACAATCATTTAGTCAAACTTAAAAATCATGTTTAAATTCATATCCTGGAATGGAGAAACATTGAAAACCTATGCTTGACACAAAGATTTCTTAAGATCTGAGACTGCATCATGACTTTGATGAAAGCTATGGTAAGATAGTCAACCTAAGATTACTGGCAAATACAGTAATTCATGTTTGATCTAAAACTCTGTTACGGAGAAATATTGCAAGATGATAAATAAGAGATGGTTTATGATTGAGGTTTTATCATTATCATTACAACGTTAACCAAAGAACAGGCCTAACCACATACAGAATTCAAGGTCAAATTCAAAGTCTCTGGCAGAGAAATTGTAAAATTAATGTCTGGCCCATAATTTTCTTATGGTGAAACAATGGAAATTTATACCTCAAAGAAAGATTATTTATGACCTGAGTGTGTGCAATGACAATCCAAAGTCATTAAATTATGTTAAAATATTGATACAATCAACACTGAATCTCAAAGTAAGCAAGAAAAGAAAACCAGAATACTCTGTATTAAACTTTGAAACAAAATTTATTATCAAGAATAGTGACCTAAAGAGATGACAAACAGTTTTCAGCACTAATCTGTTATTACTGGCATCTAGTCAGTCATTAGATCAGAGAATGTAAACACTGTATGAGTTATATGAACCCTACACATTATTTAGGGTCTTCCATCAGAAATTGTTCCTCTTTCTGAAACTGTAGATTAAGATTTTCCCATCTCTGGCTTATTTCTTTAGGAGGGAAGAATTCCCACTCATTGTTGAATCGGTTCCCGAGCTGCCATTTTGGGTACCTATCGAAGCCGTGGGAATATCCTGGGAACCACCTGATTCCCTTGTGGCGCCCCTCAGACAAGGCCGATTTCTCATCATTTCTTGTGGCCTCCGGGAAGTAGTAACACAGCATCTCCTTAGACATGTGTTCCATGGGAGGTAAGCTGTTAATGGACTTCATCTGTGAAGGGAAAAAAGTGGAATAAATGTAAGACGATGAACTATTATTTTCATTATGTTAAGAAAAGAAATTACAGAAGAATGCTAAACAGGGATTTTAAATACTCTGCAATAACCCTATGTTGCATTTTAACATCTGTAAAATTACCATTTTGTGTAAAGTTCAAGTAAAAACCTAGCACTACATGTTTTGTGTTGTGTCTGTAGCATCTTCATGTCAGATTGTCTGCTATGACAAATGAGTACAACATCTCAAATAAAATTCAAAAAAGAAAAGAAAATGAAAATGAAAATGACTCCTTACTTTCAGTTCATTCTCAAAGATGACAAGGTCCATTTCCTCAACCATATCTTCACCACTCTTTGTCTAGGAATAAAGTAATTCTATGATTACAACAAATGAACAAAAGGCTTGTGATTTGGGAAATTGGCAATGTTAAAAAAGGTCAACTCTCTGAAGATTGAAGATCAAAAACTAGCAATTCTTTAATCTAACCAGACTACCCAAGTAAATCTTTTTAATGATTTAAATTCCTTGAGGATAATTTTTTACCAAGTAATTAAAACCTTTTTCTAAAATTTAGTATATATGTACACACTCTATTTTTCCCTAAATATGTAAACCTATTGATGTCCACTTAAAAAAAATTTTTCCATCAAGCAAAGTTACATGTTACAATAATTAACCACAGAACTACATTACAGCTTGAGTTCACTAGTAAATTTTATGAATAATACTGCAGATATATGAATGCTACTCATCAAGTGGATGATAACTGAATTTACTTTACATACTCTTTAAGATCTATAATGAGTTGTCCATTGTATAGATGTCTGTGAAGTATTTCTGTTTAGAATACTTATAGTGGAATTATCATCGTTCATTGTGGGACCAATGTTCCCCGGAATAACATGGCTCACCCTTATAAACAAATTTACATCCCCACAAATATAACCTTTATCAATGTTTTGGTTCATTGCATCTTATATGAGACTCAACCATGAAATTCTTTCCTCATGAACCATGAAAGATTTGGTTTCCTCTGAATAGTACTGCCCCCAACCACCCCACAAAGTGAATTCCACAAAACTGGGTCCCCAGCATGCCTTAGTCTAACATACCTATAATGTACACGTATAATGATGGCATTGTTTTAGCTGCTGTGAATCCTTTTTGTTTTACTTACAACTTGCTTCTTCTCCTGCTCCAGATTTGCCTTCTTGTTTTCAGGATCACTTGGGTAGGGCACAGTGGTGGAGGTGTACTGCAATCACAGAGAATTCACTTGATGATGAGATGATATCTATTTGGTATATTACTTATCATGTCTTTAAGTAATAAACATTTAACATAATTAAAACAAACATTTTAAATTTTTTAAAAAGTATCAAATCACAACTTACGAATTTCTCTAGTTTTTCAACAAAAGCTTTGTCAGGTATTCTGGTCTTGTAATACTCAAAATCCACAGGTGGCTTGCTATCATGTTTATTTGTTAACCTAAAAGAGCACAAGATAAATATCACAAAAAAGAAAACACTTTCAAACTAAAATGAAAATGAAAAGGTCCATGGGCCAAAATGCTCACAGGAATATTCTTGAACCTGCATTCAGAGAAGTGTATTTAAAAAGAAATATTAATTCAAATTTTATCCCTTATTATAGTTTTGTCTAAAGTCTAAAATTGTGACTTAAACAAACTAAATCTTCCCAACTCAAGAAATCTTGGATATTAATGTCATCAATGATGGCCAAATGGTTGTTCAGAAGGAGACATTTAAATCACCCCACCCTATGTTTGCTCTTCTTTGATTAGTTGAATTAAGTTTTCATTGGAAGGTGGCATGACTCTACATTAAAGAATTTTCACCACTGTTTCCTCTTTACCCAAGGATGCTCTCTGTATCAAATTTGGCTAAAACTTGCATACTGGTTCTAGATGGGGACAAAATGTGTTTAATTTACAGGTGAATGGACAGATCTATACTTGGCAGAATTAGAAAATTCTGTAAGTCAACCTCACTTACAATGTTCAGTTTTTTTTTAGGCCATTCAATATAAATGAAAAAAGTCATTATTTTCAGAGTAAAAAAAAAAAAAAAGTTGGATTTGTGTCAATTTTAATTTCAATTTGATAGGACTTCATGAATATGCCAATATACTTTCATTGTACTGTTCATACTTTATTTATGGTAATGCAACTTACATACAGTATGACGTCATGTGACAGTAGAGTCTAGTACCAAATGTCACATGCATTTTGCAGAGTCTGTTTAAATTTAAACTGAAATTACTGAATTATCTATCTGTTCTTGCCCTAGTGGATGCACTGTCAATAATTTTTTATTGATGTCTCTGAATGATCCTCTTGCAAATATGTCACTTTAGCAGAAGTCTCTCTGTGTATATTTCTAAGTACTAGTATACAAAGAATGGCATCATGGGCTAGGTGATTTTAAGGGTGGGCAAGTGAAATTTTATCAACCACTTGCCCATTGACAAGTAACTTAAAAAAATTTTGAATCCATATTTAAGTCACAAAAATAAAGCTCGACATATGGCATGATATGGGCTTGCATTAATTGATCTACTCAGTACATGTATATGTCTTCATATTTTTTAAATGTATATAAATATATACAGTTTTAGTTTATGGTCATGTTGGTGGGGCAAGCAAAACGTAGGAGAAATTTGACCATGCACTCGCCCTTGGACAAGTGCCTAAAAATCTATTTGTCAGCCCTTGGGCATTAATGTCAACATGATAGTAAGTATAGTAGAAAAACACAACAAGTGAAAGTATTATACTGTATTCCATTTCATCAGTGGGTCCTATTCTGATAATACTGAGCCTTTCCTTCCAACCCGAATTTCCTCAAAATATTTTGTGTTTCAATTCTTATCGAATAAAACCTTATTACATCACAATTTTCTTTATTTGCTTTCAATTTGCATCTTTTTTATCAACCACTTCTGTAATTTTCTATAACAGTTAAAGATTTATGGCAAATATTCTATGCTTACGCTCCGGATAATCCTTGGTTAATCAACGCTAGCTCTTTAGCTTTCGGTGCTACCTCTGCTGGAAAATTTTTCATAAATTCTGCAACATTTAAACTTGATTTTGATATTCTGGAGCAACGAAGAACTTCAAAGAACCTCATTTTTGAGAGTTCTTTGGTGGTTGTCCACTTCTTCGGCAACGGAGGACGTCAAAGTCTCTGCAACGTTTGGTCACAAAATTTAAATAACTCGTTCGTAAGCTAGTTCGACTTTTGGGAACCGACAGAGGAGAGTTAACTATAATTGTCCCCCGGTTTCGCGAAAGCGAGGGGACATTAAATCTAATTTGTCTGTCCGTCTGTCAGTCTGTCACAAAAACTTTAACATTGGTCATATCTTCTGAATGAGAAGAGATGGTGCTTTCATATTACGTACAAACTTAAGGTATCCCGATATATTACCTATGACAAGACCTTTATAAATCACCATGATTTTTGACCCCGTGACCTTGAAGTTTGACCTACTTTAAAAAAATAAAATAAGACATTAATATTTAAAATTGGCCATAACTTTTGATTGAGAAGAGATAGGGCTTTCATTTTAAACATGTATGTTATCTGTTACAAGTCCTTTCTAAACACACTATGATTTATTACATTGTGACCTTAACCTTGAAGTTTGACCTTCTTTTCATAAATCTAACCTTGGTCATAACTTTTGAATGAGGAGAGATAATGCTTTCATATTTGGATATTACAAGTGCACTACCTGTGACAAGATATTTCCGAGCATGTTATGATTTCTTACCCCTTGACCTTGACTTCATGATTGACACCTAATTTAAAAAAAAAAATCAACTTCGGTGATAACTTCTGAATGGTATACGATAGGGCGTTCACATTTGACACAATATCCCTTAAAAAATGACATCTCACCTTAATGCTTAAGGATAGTGATATATTATATTGTCCCCCCTCATATTAGACCAAGAATTACAAATATATCTTTTAGGTAATTTTTGTACTAATATCAGGGGAACAAATAAAATCACTTTTCCTAAGCATGTACGTGTATTTTGATTTTTTTAAATATCATGAAAAGAAATGTTACTTTAAAAAAAAAACAAAAAACTTTCTAAAAATTTTCTAAAATAAGAAAATGATTTCTTTATTCCAGTACGTTTTCCCTGGAAATATCTTTTAATTTTTAATTTAAAAAGTATTTTTTAAAATCACAGATTATATCTAAAATTGATTTTCTTACATAAATAAGTTTAAAAATCTACATGTATTTATATGTTTCAATTTTTTTAACATCAAGTTTCCGTTCTTCAAATATCCTTTTTTTCTTTGGTATTAAGAATTCGAATTTTATTGAAAGGTCAAGAATTCTTTTTGGATATTGGAAAATATCTCAAAAATACAAAAGGGGTATCTAGAACAATTTCTAACAACAAAAGTTTTTTCCTCAGAAATTATTCAATTGATACAATTTTTAAAGTAAGTAACCATTGTTAAACTGTTTAATTCACCATTTTAAAGGAGGGGTGGGAGAGAGAGCATTTTTTCTATTAGCAAAGATTTACACGAATAAGTAAACGTAAGACCTAATAAAAGTTTCAAATATTGTAAGCATTTTACTAACGTTGATTACAACGGGATTACAACGAGAAGAAAGACGAGAAACGATTAATGATGTGCAGATGAAATCTTAAAAGACTTAACTGTGTATTTACCTGCTGTGCAATTCTGCAGGGATTGCCTCAGGAATATTTGTAATCTCTTATTTCTAAATCATGTCATCAGAAAAATCCAAGATGGATTCCGATGTGGAATCAAAAGTTGCCCAAAACAGACATAGTCAGTGGGTGAAGCTGAATGTTGGTGGGACTGTGTTTTTGACGACGAGAACCACGCTATGTAGAGACCCCAAATCCTTCCTGTATAGACTTATACAAGACGAACCAGACCTTAACTCAGACAAGGTATCTACTAATTTGATCTCTTTTTTGGCATGATAGATTAAGAGACATAAGAGTTGTGTATCCTGTTTTTGTTTACAATAGACTAAATGATGTAATGAATGAACTTTTGGCAGAGAAAGATTAAACAGTCACATTCTGTAGTATCTTCCCAATATCTCTAAAATTCTCAATTGAATTAAAATTTCTTTCTCTGACAGATTTGGTCTGAATTACGTTATTTAGAATAATCTAACTTTGTCCTGGGACAAACCCTCACAACAGTTAGAATACATCCCATACACTTGCAATGTAGCAAATCAGAGCAGATTCACTTCAAAATGATTTAAAAGAATACAAAAGAGGTTGCACCTGAAATAACTATCAAATTAATAAAAACAAACCTTCTGAGAGTGTATCTGCCTTTTATCCCTAAAAATAATCTGAAACGACTTTACTTTACCGGTCCCCAGAAAAACATGCTAAAATGTGTCGCTGAGGCGACTTCAGTATATATGAGATCACATGAGCGATCAAAAAAAAATAAAAAATACAAAGTTTTTCGCCTGTTTGATCCCAAATTGAATTCTACGGTTAAAAAAGTTTAGTTTAAAATTTTAAACGTCGTTCTCTGAAAGAAATAATAAATATTGTTTAATTTATTCATTGGAAAAATCGACAAAAAATAAGTGTCAACAAAGCATGTGCGGTGCATGCTTAATGTCATTTCTTTCGGTCTTAGCCATTCTTCCATGTAAACAAACCAATGAAATGGCGTTGAAACTGAATTATGACCTTGCAAAAATTACAGAAGCAACTGAATTTCTTAATTTATCTAAAAGAACAAGTCACTATAACCATAATCTCTCGGATGGTAAGCAAAGACTAAGACGTTTAGCCAAAATCTCCCAGGTAGAATCGAGACTAACCCTAATCAGTCAAATAGTGTGCTAGGACTAACCCTAGTCTCTTGGATGGATGCGAGACTAACCCTAATCAGTCAAATACTTGTGCAAGGACTAACCCTAATCTCTCAGGTGGTTGCAAGACCAACCATAATCAGTCAAATAGTGTGCAAGACTAACCCTTATCAGTTGAGTGACATAAATGCTATGTCATAGTCCAATGAGCGCGAGGATCTTGCAGATCTTGGGACCAGTAAAGTAAAGTCTACCCAATAATCCTTATTAAATTCAACTGATTTTCTCAACATTTTTTCTCACTTCAAATTTACATGCAGTGTTTACATTTGGAACTCTCTGTATTGTTCATAGTAAATACATTGCGTTCCAGTTATTGCACATGTTTATTTCACAGGCACCTGACGAATGGATGGTATACAACCTCCACCCCCCTACCTTCCCCAGCTTCTGAAAATTTTTATTAGACACGAAAACTTATCAAAAATCGTGATTTCTTAGACAATTATTCTTATGTAACAGAGTTAAAAGGGTAAAAAGTGGTTATGGCTTGTAAATAGTGAGGCCACTGTCCTACTAGCAGTAGCTAGTGGGTTAAGCCTTTAGCTCAGTCAGTAGAGCGTTGGATTTTAAATCTGAGGGTTGTAGGTTTGAACCACAGTGTGGACACCCTTAGCTAGTCTGTCATATTGGTGCCCAACTACAAAACCTACATGGTGAGTGGTGTTTATAGAGTCTCGTATCTGAGATTTCTCAATGGTAAGAAACCTCAAGAAAAAGAAGGGGGAAGTGTAACCATGGTAACAAAGTTAAAAGTGGCTATGGGTTGTATATAGTGAGGCCACGCTCCTACTAGCACTAGCTAGTGGTTTAACCATATAGCTCAGTTGGTAGAGTGTCAGATTTTAAATCTGAGGGTTGTAGGTTCGAGCCACAGTATGGACACTCCCTAACTGACCAGTCATAATTATATGTGTACTGGTATTACAAAATTGTTTATATAAATTTTAAGTCATAAACAGACCTCTTCATTCATTACATACTAGTAATTAATTTTTTAGAAAAGAAGTCTCATAACAATTTAGTTTAAATGCCAAGCTTAATATTGGAAATAAAGTTTAATACATGTATCTTAATGTTTAATGGACTGTTATTCACTTATTGGAATAAATTGTCTGTTGATAAACATGTTTTAAAAAATAAGACTGTTTGATTGACTCATGGTGGCTCATTTGGCACATCTTGTATTTCTTCTCATATAGTAGATCACTATAATATTTTCCTGATGCCTTATTTTCATGAGGTAGCTATTTAGTATTTATGAGCTAGACAAAATTTTCATGAGCAGTGTGGTTACTGCTGCATATAATCCTTAACAATATCAATGTATACCAGATTGACATTTTCAAAGCAGACAGAAATATTTGTAATAATTACACAAAAATAAAGTTCTCATGCATAAGAAATGAATAACACTGCTGGAATATGCAGTAGAAGGATGTATTTAAAATTATAATCAAACATAGGTTTATTTCAAGGGAATAAAATGTTCCAAGTTAATCTTTTTTAATGCCCCATTTTCTCCAATTGAAAGATTTCTGGGTGTAAAGTTTTTTGCCCTGTCCATCTGTCTGTGTCTAATGTCTATCTTTTTGCAAAAACTTTAACCATGTTAACCTTGCCCAAAGCATTTAATTAGTTTGAGCCATTGCATATTTTTATTCCTTGTAACAGGCCTTCCTTTGTATACCAATATATTTGACCTTGACCTTCAAGTTTCATCCATTTTTGCAGAAACTTCAACTTTTACTGCTCAAAATTTAAAACTTAAACCTTGACCATAAGTCATAACTTTTAAAAATATGGTGAGGCCAAAAATAAAAATAGTCTTGTTTCCTGCTACCCGACCGACCCTACTTTTTTGCACCCGACCCTAAAGTTTTTATTTAGTTTTAGGAGTAAAATAGGAAATTTCATGATCCAAAAGTGAAAAAAACATATATTCATGTGGTATTTCATGAAATATAAGTTTTAAATATTGACTTCTATAAAACACTCATATTATTTTAAACAATAATATTGACCTATGACATGTTTAATTTGGTTTTAAAATAATTCATATCCAACAAATACCATTGGGAAAAAAATAAAATAAATTAAAAAAATAAAATAATTTTCCTACCTACCTACCCTATTTTTTTCAGGTTGGTAGCAGGAAACAAGACTATTATTTTTTTTGGCCTGATAGGGCTTTCATACTTCACTTGTTTGTTTATTGTGACAAGTCCTTTCTTGGGATGTTAAGATTTTTTACCTTTGAGTTTGACCAACTTTTTAGAAAAAAATTTACCTTGGCCATTACTTTTGAAAAGTTAGCAGCATTCATATTTCACCTTGTGACAAGACCTTTGTAAATGTTTGGATACCAACAATTTTGACCTCTTGTAGTGTATCTCCTGTTGAAAAACTTAGCCTTGACCATAACTTTTGAACAATTGATGCAAGGGCTTAAATATTTCACGTGTAGCGGTATATGGTCTTCCCTTAGGTACCATTAATTTGACCCTATGACATTGATTTTGGAGTTTGACCTACATTTTAAGAATATAAACTTGCCCATAACGTTTTACTGATTGGCACTTTGGCACTCATATTTCATACCCAGTAGGTAACATTATTGAGACAAGTCCTTACTATGGGTAACAACATAATTACATTTTTCTTCTCTTGTCCTTTGGAGTTTGAGTCACATTTGAAATTTTAACCTTCACCAAAAGATGTCATACCTTATTTCTTTAAAATCTGAAAGTAAATGTATTCTGCCATCAGAGTTGATATGTTTAGGCCATTCCAAGTTTTTTCTTTGCTTAGCAAACACCCTAAAATCGAAAACCTATCATTCTGTCTTGGAAAATCACACAAACCAAAAGGGGATAAACACAACAATTTAAGAACATGCAATTCTAAAATTTCTTTTCATCATTTGAATTTTCCTCTCATTGTAACTAAGTTAAATTATTAGTTTATTGGAAAAAAAGCTAGTTTACTGGAAAAAAAGATTGGTACACCACTGTAAAAAAAAGAAATATTGATGGCAAAATTGAAAAACTCCTTCCATTCATGAAGAGCTACAAAGAAAATATTCCCTATAACTATGAGAGTAAAGAAAAATATGTGAAACTGCCAAGTTTTATCGAATTGTGAAAATTTGTGTTCATTATTTTCAAGTCTCACAATCCTTAGCTCTGATATCTCACAATGCTCAGCAGCTATCATGTCACAGCTTATGCCACTGTGTTGCAAAAAGGCAGCTCTTAGGTGTCAGGTAGAGGCAAAAGGAAAAGCCAAGGGTTTTTGAAATGTTTTAAATAGAAATATTCAATCTTTCGTTGTTGGATCTGAAATTTCTTTTACTTGTTGGACAAGATTGTTTTTTATATTTCACTCATGCTTTGGACAATTGAAAAAAAAAATGTAACAACTAAAAATCTGTCCCACGTATGAAATAAAACCCATATCCACCTACCTAACATTGAATACCCTCTGTATATATCTCCTGTCTGTTGTTTCCAGGATGAGAATGGTGCTTATCTGATTGACCGGGACCCTACCTACTTTGGTCCTGTCCTGAATTACCTCCGACACGGAAAACTAGTGCTGAACAAGGACCTGGCTGATGAAGGTAAACAAACAGTCTCTGGATTTAATTTGAAGTCTTTTTTGAAAGAGAGATAAATGTATTGTTAGAGAAGTTACAGAGATGATCAATTATGACTTGTTATAAACAAAGTTTATGGTATATTTTTAAACTCAATTGTGTTGAATGAGTGTGAGTTCATTTTAAAGCATTATGCTGTGGAAACCATATTTTAGTATTACATGACTTGTAATTTGTTTTCAAGTCTTCTAGTATATTCTGTCCTTCTGAAATAAAAACTTGAAAAATAAAATCATAAATTTAGCCATGCTCCCTCCAATAAAACATTTATAAAAAAAATATCCCATGGCATGTGAGCTTTTCTGATCGCTTGTTGTCATTAATCTCTTTGTCTTTTCATCTGTTAAATTTGTATAATTTGGACTTATTTAATATGAAACACCTAGTTAATTTCAACTATGTATTTTATTAATTGATGTAAAATAATTTCTGAGGTTTGAATTTTTTTGAAGTAAGATAATACTGCAAGAATAAGCTGACAAAAATGCATGGTCATTATGACATCATCAGTCACTCTGGTTTGAGAAAATTTTCATTGTAGACTATGGGCCTTTTGTTTGATTGGATATGATGATCATCCACCTTGTGTATTCTATTTCATAATGCAAATTGTTTAAAAAAAAATCATACCTGTAACAAACTATAGCAAAAACTATACCCCGGGGTATAGTTTTGCTATGCGTGAACTATAAAAGATAGCTATTTTACCTTCTGAACTTTAAATAGGAAACATTTTAACAGAAGTATAATAAGAGATCATATGATTTCCAATTCTGATAGCCTGAATTTTCTCTGTGGCAGAATACACATGTATAATTAATTCCATTTAATCAGGTTTTCATTCCATACATGTTAGCTCAAAATATGTGCTATCTGATCAGATTTGATGGATGGTACTTTATGATAGAAACCAAGCTTAGTCTTCTACATTGATAAACACTGTTTATACAATCTTTAGATTGTATTTCTGTTTGCAAATTGTCCATGCATGCAATATGTAAATGTGAAATATTTTTGTTTGGAATTTTTGTTTTGGCATCAGCTAGGAGTCTCCAGAGGCCAAAATAGGCATAATTTAAAGATAAAAATGGATCTTGTATGTTGAAATGGTTAAATGAAATTGAATAGGACTGATCATGTTATATGTAGTTCACTGATGTGCAGCAAAGTCACAGATTTTTTTCCTGTGTGCTTGAATGTATGATTCTTAATAGGAGGGTTGTCAGATCTCTTTCTACATTTATATTAAACTCTTCCACTGAATACTGTGAAATCACAAATTTTTGTGGGGGTTTAATTTTTGTTGTTTTCAAGGTATGAAGAGACCCACGAATTCATGTCCACCACAAAATGTAAAATGTTACATAACTACTCAATTCTTCATCCACGAATTCAAATCCCGGGGCACAACCAAGAGTTTTTACTCAAACCACGAAAATTTGACCCCACGAAAATATGTGGTTTTACAGTAACTGTAGTTATGCTAAGGTTGCAGGTGTGCAAAAATAGGGGTTTGAATGCTGCAGGTGGTATTTACCAGACCAATGATTAGGTTGGTTTTGAGTTGAGGTCCATTTTTAAAAGATATTTGTAAAATCTAGCTTTTCCAATTGTTCTTTTAGTGCTGTGTGAGACCATTACTTTTTGAATGTGTGAATAATATCTCAAATTATCGAAATTTATAGAAGAAATTGAAATCTCTTCCATATACTTTTTTGTGGAAGGAAAAAAAACATAGGTTTTGCATTCAGGAATGCATATTACTAAATGTGCCTTGAATGTTGGATGTGTAATAAACAGACAAATGATGAAATTGAAGCTTTTTAGAACAAGTGAATTCCTAAGTAGATACAACAATTACAAGTCTTACATTAAATGACAATTAAGCTTTATGATATCATTAAGGATGGATATGGTACTAAGGATGTATAAATTGGAGCATTTACTTCATTTTATAGTTTCTTTTAAATTTTCATTGCAGTTTGCATAGATGTTGTGTCTTGGGCTATTAGTGATGTGCTTCAGATTCTGTGACTGATCAACAACTCTAAAATCAAAATTTCTGGGAGAAGTCCATTCCCAAGTTGTTTCAAGCCCAAAAATGACAAGATATATGTGTATGCATGTAACATGAGGTCATAAATGTAACCATTTATAATTCAGATTCTGCATATGACCAACAGTTTATAAATAAGATAATGAGCTCAATAATCTTTTTTCAGCTTTTCAGCCAAAATGGAAAATTGATCATGATTTCATCTGGGAATTTCCTTTTTGGTTACAAAATATATTTGTGCAAATTTTGTATGGATAGATAAATCCCATTTTCTGTGGTAAAAAGGCATCCATTTGCAAGACATGTTTCCAAATCCTGTCATGCAAAATTCATGTAAGCAATTTGGCTTTTTCTGCCTTTGGGTGTAAAACCAAAACAATTATAGCATTCAATACTCTTGCTAGATTTCCCAAAAGGTATAAGTGGGATGTCAAATGACGATATGTATGCCATATGTTTAAAAGCTTTCTTCAATGTGGCCCTGATTGCCTGGTTGAAACAATACACAAATGATGTCTAGAGGGATGTGGACATTAATTGCTTTGGAAGCAATGTCTCTTCTACCAAATTCCATAGTTGTGTTAGATTTACATGCAATCCAGGCTTTTGAACCAAGCTTTATTGCCAGACATTTTCAAAGTGTGATCAGGGTTTTACCTATTTTTATTATTTTTTCTTAAGCAATGTTGAGAGCCAGATTCACAGTCTGCATTGATTTTGGTTCAGGTAGATACCTGGGAACAACATTATTATGGCAAAATGACGAGTTTATCGACTGTACTGGCTCCGAGCTCTATCTTTGGTTTTTTGCTGGCTGTGAAATTGATCTACGACTTCCTTTGTTTATCGGGTGGACTGCCAGATGATTCCCAGTAGGTTGTCCACCCACTGCTCAGGATGTAATATTAACGTTTAATAAGATATTAAAGTAAATCACGAGTATCTGAAGTATATAGCCATTATTGATTTGGAGTTGAAGGCTCTAAAGTCTGTTTGGTTAATTAGTGATTGCTTAATGTAAATCCATTCACTTAGGCCACATGGCCGTCCTACCTTGTGGGGAGACATATATAATGTACCTTATGATAAATCTGGTGTACATTAATTAGGGGGATAGATTACTGATTGAATCCCTGTTGATATATAAGTGATGTCTCATTGGAATAGTTTCTGAAGAATTTGTCAGCTCTGAGACTATGTACAAACAAAATCTTCCTCTAAATGAATTTCACATCAGACTATTTTATGACACTGGCTTTTGATCACCAATATAGTAATGTGTTCTCAGGTCCCTAGAGAATCCCGGATTTCTTTCAAGTTAATTCATGATTTTCTACTCTCAGCAGCAAGCTGATATGTCAATGTATCTGTATGTTTACATTTACTACAGTAACTGTTTCAGGAACATGATTTCACAAATGTTTGTGAGGAATCTGGAAGCACATATTAATTCATGCATCATTGGTACATCATATGAATTTATACATGAGCCAGTATTAATCACATGGCTTGTGTCACTGCTTATGTTAACACACTGCTAAGGCTTTCAGTTATCACACTGCTTTATATCAGTTATCACACTGTTTGTATCATTTATTGCACTGCTTATATCTGAGTTATCTAAGTGCTTTTATTAGCTATCACTGTGCAGGTGTTAGTCAATGCCCTTGCCACAGTAATGTTAATGTTCAATTTATGTCAGTATTATACACTGCTAATGTCACTTTATATTCTGCTTATACAAGTTATCACAGAGCTTATATTAGTAATCACACTACTTATGTCAGTAACTACACAGAGCTTTTATCTGTTACACAGTTTTAAATCTGTTTCACAATAGCTAAGTCAAGTTATCACTTTGCTTTTGCCAATTATTAGGCTTTTTGTGTCAGTTATTAGGTTATGTATGCCAGTTGTTAGGCTTTGTATGCCAGTGATTAGATTTTTTTGCTGGTTTTTAGGCTTTGTATGTCAGTGATTAGGCTTTGTATGCCAGTGATTATACTGTGTATGCCAGTGATTAGGCTTTGTATACCAGTTATTAGGCTTTGTATGCCAGTTTTTAGGCTTTGTATGCCAGTTTTTTGGTTTTGTATGCCAGTTATTAGGCTTTGTATGTCAATGATTAGGCTTTGTATGCCAGTTATTAGGCTTTGTATGCCAGTTTTAAGGCTTTATATGCTAGTTTTTGGGGCCTTGTATGCCAGTTATTAGGCTTTTTATGTCAATGAGTAGGCTTTGTATGCCAATTATTAGGCTTTGTATGCCAGTGATTAGGCTTTGTATGCCAGTTTTTAGGCTTTGTATGCCATCTGTTAGACTTTTTATGCTAGTTGTTAGACTTTGTATGTCAGTGATTAGGCTTTGTATGCCAGTGATTAGGCTTTGTATGCCTGTTGTTAGGCTTTGTATGCCAGTGATTAGGCTTTGTATGCCAGTAATTAGGCTTTGTATGCCAGTTGTTAAGCTTTTTATGCCAGTTTTTTCACAATCTTATAATAACTATCATACTTATACTGGTTATCACCTCATGGATTCAAGATATCACACCCATTCCTGTTAGTAAAAATTTAGATTCTCAGATTTAAAGAAGACCATCCTATATTATCAAGAAGAGATCATAGATGAAATATAAATATTTACAGATTTCTTTGGATGTATATTTATATGCTGTTTTTGAAGCCAGAATAAGCCCTTGTGAACCTTGATCTATCTTGGACAAACTCACTGATAACCTGATTAAGAGTCTCGGAAGAATCAATGAAAAATGATAGATTTATAAGCACTTGTTTCATCATTAACACCATGAGCAGTGGCCTGCATTAGACTTTACAGTGATCCCAATATCCAATTCCCTTCATGTGATTTGTATTGTCATTTTGATCTGAGTTTCAGCATATTACATTGTATACAATCAGGTACCTGTGTTATTACATTCCATGGGTTTGAGAGAAGAAACCTCTCTGCTTCTTGAATTAAAGACATTGATAGATGTAGTATTGCCTATGTGTCAGAGTTTGTTTAGATAATCATGTTACAAACGACTTGAGAATCACATAAAGAACCCCCTCTGTTCTGGCTGATTTTCCTCCGCTGCGGCAGCCATGTGCCTCGGTGGGATTTAGATTACACTGTAATTGTCTTCTTATTTCAGGTGTGTTAGAGGAAGCGGAGTTCTACAACATCACAGATTTAATCAAGCTCGTTAAAGACAAAATCAAAGACAGGGATGCCAAACAAAATCAGGTGACCAGTATCTTCCTGTCATTGTTGTTGCTGCCAAGAATAAACTTTAAGGAAGGATTGGTTTACATTTTTAAAATAATTTATAATATAAAATCTTCAGCATGTTCAGGAACCTTTTTTAAAATAATGATTGTGATGTCCTTGAATTTTTGTTTTCAAAGCTGACCTTTCTAGTGGCAAAAGATTGATTAATTGATTTAATCTGAACCATGATTTTTTTTCTCCAAATTTACATTTGGGTTTTAGGCAAGGCAAGGCAAGGTCAATCAAAGTCTATAATTTTTTTGAGTAAAAATTTAATGAATAAATAAATGAACTTAAATTAAAAAAAACCCATCTTATATGTATCTTTATGCAAAATATACCTTTGAAGAAGCTCTGATTTAAAAGTCAAAGTGTAACTCTGTCTAGATATTGTAACATTTTAAATTTTAATTTATTAAGCAATTGTTTTGTAAAACTCAATTTGATTTTGAGGCAGTTAAATGAGCATTAATGAGCATGATGAGAGTAAAACCTTTTGATTTTGATATGTGATAGAATGATGCAAAAACCCAATCCCTCTTGACACATTTTAGCGATATAAAATGTTGGTGATCTCAACAACCTCGCTAAAAATACCAAAATTGAATCCTCACTAAAATTTCTGCTAATACATTATTTGATTTAGAATCTTTTATCCTCATGTTACCCTTTAATTTATTTCAGTCCAGCACCAAAAGTGTGTATCGTGTTCTACAGTGTTCAGAAGAGGAACTCACTCAGATTGTGTCAGCCATGTCTGATGGCTGGAAGTTTGAACAGGTAAGCTGGGGCTGTGGAACATAATCAGGTAGCTAATGCCAAAAATGTTTCTTGGAGGTTAAAATTGATTTGAGTTGGGTAATTTTATCCACTTGGTAAACCAGAAAGCTGACTTAACCATGAATTGATGCTGATTTTGTACCATTTTGTTTCCAGTTGGTGAACATTGGATCCCAGTATAATTATGGAAGTGAAGATCATGCTGAATTCCTTTGTGTGGTCTCTAAAGAATGTCCCAATATTCTCAATGGCCAGGAGTCAGAGCCCTCAGAGAAAGCCAAGGTTACTAGCCTCTACCTCTAATATAAACTAGAACTAATTTAACTTTTATAAATTCATACTTGGAGAGTACAGTCTCATCAGAGACATCTGAATTCGTTTATTAAAACAGCATACATTCAAAGAATGAATTATAGCTTTCTATTTCTACAAATATTGAGTATTATAGCATCATGTTTGATTGTAGGTGTTACAGCAGAAAGGATCTCGGATGTGAGACCACCATGTTTAGTCACCTGTTAATTTGTGGACATCACATGGACCAATGCATCAGACGGGGTCACAGGGCACCTGACCCCAGCCCTCTCCCCCCTTCTCCAGACACCCCCTCCCATTGGTGCAATAATTACCAAAATTTATTCCAGAGTTCCTCCTTTAACCTCTGTTCAGGAAATCTGTCCTATTTTACTCTGTCAGAACTTATAATTTTATGTGTGGGATTTTTAAAGATGTACAATGCCCTGTGCATTTTCTAACTCTTTGCTAAGCATTGTATAATATGAAGTAGATTTATCTCAAAGTTATATTTATAAACCAAAGTTTAATTGAACTCAAGGCTTGGATGATCTGATCTTTGTTCTAAACAACATTGTCTGGTGAAAATTTTATTATGAGTTCTTTCAATTCAATAAGAACTGAATTTTTCTTACATTGCAGCATCTGATTTCATTGATTCTATGTACTTAAGGTGTGGCTATCATTTAGGACTAAAGTAACGAACATTCTGTTGTAGATACATATATTCACTTATCCCAATTAGATAGTGCTAGGTGATTCAGAAGTTTTCTCTGTATGTAATACATGAATTGTTGTCAGTATATGGTATCTATAAACTGTAGGTGTTATGTGTGATACAGTATATGCCATTATTTGTTATCTATAGACACCATTGGTCCTATTGTGCTTTTATGACGATTACTTGGCTTTGTATGGATTTTGAAGCCTTTTCATGTATTATATATCTTTGATAGAAACGCCTTTCATTTATTATAGCTCTATTTTACTTATGTAGAAATGGTTTAAGAACATTTTGAACCTTTTTTAAAAATGCACAAAGAAAGTTTATTTTTTAACTTTGAAAGTTTTACCTTATGACAGATGTATGGCTTGGATAAAGTTTAGTTTAATGATCTGTATGTGTTCTCTTGTAAAAACAATTTGTAGTGTTAGAATTTTTAGAACATGGAGAAATTGGCTGAAAATTTCATTTTTTATGTACTGTTGATCACTTAATTTTCATGACACCTTATTTTCATGAGATAGTCATTAACTCTTTCATTTTCACATATAATTTTAAGGAATACTAATATAGGCATGAAATAAATTTTTCACAAGCACACAATTATTTTGAAAACAAAGTTCTCACAAATAAAAAGTGATTTACAGTACATTTATTCTGTAATTTAAAAAAGAATTGTCAAAATTTTCCAAGTAAATGTACTTATTTTGGCATTCATGTAGGTATGATTACATTTATGGAAAACTGTTCATAATTTGGACCAGATACAGTTTCCATTGCTGCCATGAAAATGAAACACTTTAAAATGTCTAAAGGCTGGGATCATGTATAAAGAGCACTAGCTGTTTCAAGTCATACAAATGAAAAAATACCAAAGACTTGATTTAGACAAGTTTTATTTCATATTTAGGCTTAGCTTAAGATATGTTTGCAAAGCTTTGAAGGAAATCATAGGGAAAAGAAAACTGACCCAAGTCTATTGATAAATTTCTTGCTGGTTCATGAAATTTAACAATCAACAAAAATGTTAGCAAGATAAATAGGATTTTTAATCAATATGAAGGATCTAGTTACTTAAGAAGGAGAACAAGGTTTTTTGATGCAGGTGTAAAAATGTAATCTCTTTTCTATAATTGTTTTTTTACACCAATTTGATTGTGTATTGTTACGTGATGTGGCCATGTCCTCTGCTGTTGTGTGTGCCTTTTTTGACGACATTAAGTCACTATCATCTCCATAATAAGTTTTCTCTACCTGTATAATTAACATTTATATGGCATACAAACCCACCTGAAGTAGATCAGAACTTTTATAACAGATGGAAGCATAAAAACAGACTGCGCTGTGGTTAAATATTCTGTGTCATTACATATATGTAAATTATTTCATATACAGTATTTATAAGTATTATCAAAGGTTGTATATTGATATTTAACTTAACACCATAATTATGTGTTAGTATATTATAAAATTGGGAACTATGCAAATCCCAGACATGGTGTAGATTTGAAGCTTTTAATGTTTTATGAGGATGATGCTGGATATTGTGTTATCCCCCTTTGTATTTGATGTCTGTGTTGCCTCCCTTTAATTAGGCTAAATCCCCCTTAAGACAGCTTTACTAGGACATAGAAGCATGTAAGCTAGGCTTCCTATTGATATTGAGTGTTCATCTGTACACATGTTGCATAGAAGTCCAGATTATGAACAAAAATATTGCAGAAATTCTTGAAAACTGTGAAAGTTCTTAGCAGTGTTCTCAATTTGATCAATTTTTAAAGTATTGATACCCTGAAATGTGAGACTGATGTACAGATTTGATTGGCAGCACACATTTTTACCCCATTGTGACATGTGTATAAATGTCTGTATGCATAGAAAATGACTTTGTATTTTATTGTATCTGAGTAGCACACTGTATTATATATGATATCTATACCTGACCATTTGGAAAAACATTCTGATTAAATTATGAATGTATATTTATTTCTGTTTTATTAAGTTCTGTTATAAATGTTTTTAACAAGCTTTTGGTCATTCATACGAAGTCAGATTATACATATCACTGTCATCCTCAGTTGTACAAAATCATAATATATTGGAACAATGTGATTTGTTCCCCTTTAGTCTGACGAATTCCAGTTACATCCTCATTCAGGAGATGATAGTACACCTTTAGACACTTTTTAGTTCACCTGAGCCGAAGGCTCAAGTGAGCTTTTCTGATCAAAATTTGTCTGTCGTCTGTCGTCGTTGTCGTTGTCGTCGTTGTCGTTGTCGTAAACTTTTCACATTTTCATCTTCTTCTCAAGAACCACTGAGCTGATTTCAACCAAACTTGCCACAAAGTATCCTTGGGTGAAGGGGATTCAAGTTTGTTCAAATGAAGGGCCACGCCCTTTTCCAAGGGGAGATAATTATGAATTAGAGAAAAATTAATGGCATTTTTTAAAAATCTTATTCTCAAGAACCACTGGGCCAGGAAAGGTGAAACTCATGTGGAATCATCCTCAGGTAGTGTAGATTCAAGTTTGTTCAAATCATGACTCCAGGGGTAGGGTGGGGCCAAAATGGCCGATCAAAGTTTTACATAGGAATCATAGGAAAAATCTTTAAAAATCTTCTTCTCCAGAACCACTGGGCCAGGAAAGATGAAACTCATATGGAATCATCCTCAGGTAGTGTAGATTCAAATTTGTTCAAATCATGACCCCAGGGGGTAGGGTGGGGCCAAAATGGCCGATCAAAGTTTTACAAAGGAATATATAGGAAAAATCTTTAAAAATCTTCTTTTCCTGAACCACTGGGCCAGGAAAGATGAAACTCATATGGAATCATCCTCAGGTAGTGTAGATTCAAGTTTGTACAAATCATGACCCCCGGGGGTAGGGTGGGGCCAAAATGGCCGATCAAATTTTTACATAGGAATATATCGGAAAAATCTTTAAAAATCTTCTTCTCCAGAACTGGGCCAGGAAAGATGAAACTCATATGGAATTATCTTCAGGTAGTGTAGATTCAAGTTTATTCAAATCATGACCCCCGGGGGTAGGGTGGGGCCAAAATGGCCGATCAAAGTTTTACATAGGAATATATAGGAAAAATCTTTAAAAATCTTTTTTTCAAGAACCACTGGGCCAGAAAAGATGAAACTCATGTGCAATCATCCTCAGGTAGTGTAGATTCAAGTTTGTTCACAACATGACCCCCGGGGGTAGGGTGGGGCCACATGAATGGCCGATGAAAGTTTTACATAGGAATATATAGGGAAATTTTTTTAAATCTTCTTTTAAAGTACTTCAAAGCCATGATTAGTGATACCTATTTTTATGGAATCATACTCCTTAGTGTAGATTTAAGTTTGTTCAAATCATATAACCAACTGACCCCCCCCCCCTACCCCTCCCCACGGAAAGGGTGGGGCCACAAAGGTCGATCAAAATTTTAATTAGACACAGGACACCCTCCTCCCCCCTCCCTCCCTCAGTAAACTTTTCAGTTCTGACCAGATCTGTGCTTTTTCCCAGACGATGTGCTCAGGTGAGCGATGTGGCCCTTACAGAAAAACCTAATAGACACTTATAAGTGTTTTATAATCCACTTATTAGCAATTTATAAGTCACTTATAAATTTTGAAATTTACTTATAAGTGTACTATGAGTCAAAGTACAGTGTAAGTATAAGTGAGGAACAGATTTTGTTAATACTTCACTTATAAGTAAAGATGAGCTACATATCAGTGAATATTTCACTACTACCTCAATTATAAGTGAAGATCAGTATGGTATGAGCAAGTATAAGTGTGGACTTAGAATTTTTACCTTATACTAGACTTCTCTCAAGGTGCATTATGGATATTCAAGGTAGCCAATCAGGAAGTTTGTCTCTGCAGAGATCAGCAACAAAAATTTGAAACCAAGTTTGTGAAAGGATGTTGGAGATTTTAGATTTATTTTGAGTATGCCTTCACATCAGGTACAACAAGTAGGTTCTATTTACTTGTACCATAGTTAGGTGTGATTTCTTTTGTTAAAGGTGTGGGTTTTCTGTACATAACCCACACTTTTCTATAACTCCGCCCATCGAGTTGGGACAAAAGAACTATTTATAAAACGATCATGCACGGTTTTTAAATGAAACAATCATACGCATGATACGGGCTTGTTATCTTGGTGGTTTAATACCAAATTAAGGATAGTAAAAAGGAGTAAAAATTTTCAATTGTCTACAGCATTTTGTAATAAATAACAGTTAAAAACGGCCATTAATACTAACTTTAGTTAAAAGTGAAGAAAAAAAAAACTTCAGAAATCGCTTGATTTTTAAAACATTTTTTTAGATAGTGTAATGACCAGGGTGACTTTAGCTTAGTAGATTCCAATATATCGTTCTTTTGATAACCAACAAAGGTAACACAGTAAATACTTGACGTAAAAACAAGTGTACACTACTGTACTTAAAAACCTTTTCGATTGCGGATCTAGCCGATCAAAGATCTAATTTTCATTAAATTGAAATATACATAACCCCTAACAAACATTTCAATCAACGTACCACTGTGCACGGCAAAGTTTGTATCAGGTTTACAAAAATTTACGTTAAACCAAGTTCATAATAAATTACAAGTATGTAATTTTGACGATTGAAATTTATGAGAAAAAAACATATCAAATTAACATACCGGTATATCACTGAAACCGAACTCGTCATTTTTTCAATTACATGTACATAAATCAAACTTTTTAAACGGGCATGGGTATGTTTGATTTTGATGTCGCTTGCAGAGCCCAGTGGTTAAAGCGTCTACCCTAGAGTCACGAAGTAAGGAGTTGAATCCCACTGTAAGACGTGAAGACCTATACAGTATTTATAGCAAACATAGGTCCTGTGTCGCAGAAGGTGTTGACAGAAAGAAGATCCTTCACTGCTCAATGACCCTGAGTGCTGATTTTAGGGCAAAATTTGTAGCAAAATTCGAAAAGTATCGTATACAAATCACTTACCCTACATTCGATGGACGTGGTCAGAAGGACACGAAGGAGCATAAAATCATATAAAATCCAAATGCATCTTTGAAACCAAACACATAATATTTCAATCACGCGAACCGGTCCGACCGATTCCTAAGCTGACTTACATATGAATGATTTTTGAAAACTATGGTACAATTCATTTACCCCATATCACACTGTTGATTATGCATATATATTGGTCATAAACAACTCGGGAGCTACGCTCCCTCGTGTCATTATGACCACGCCCATCGGGTATCTACACATAACCAACAGTATGATATGGGGTAACTACTACATCACCTATCTATTTTAACTTCCTTTGCCTGAAATTTTGAATCAATTGACTCAGTTGCTTTCAGATTTCATAAATTTGAAGAAGCCTCAAGGTCATTAAATCTTGTTGCCTTTTTAGCTCACCTCAACGAAGTTGAGGGAGCTTATGTAATACCCTCGGCGTCGGCGTCCCGGGTTAAGGTTAAGTTTTTTGGAGCAGTTTTCTTTTTAAGTACTTCTGTGTCCTATATTGATTAGACATGCATGGAAGATGTTTCTAGTGTGTTTCACTGTACCAGTCAAAGTTTCAGATGCTGCAATTTCAGCAAAGGAATAACCAGGTTAATGTATTTGGAGCAGGTTAACATTTTTGGTGCAGTTTTTGGTGTAGGTCTCATTTGCGAGTAACTATAAGCCCTATGTTGACCAAACTTGCATGGATGGTACATCTTAGGATGCATACTACCAGACTTGGTTTGGATGCTGAATCTGACCTACATTTTCCGGTTGAGTAAATAGCTTAAGGTTTTTGGTGCAGGGTTCATTTCCAAGTTACTATGAGCCCTATAATGACCAAACTTACATGGATGGTACATCTTAGGATGCATACTACCAGACTTGGTTTGGATGCTGAATCTGACCTACATTTTCCGGTTGAGTAAATAGCTTAAGGTTTTTGGTGCAGGGTTCATTTCCAAGTTACTATGAGCCCTATAATGACCAAACTTGCATGGATGGTACATCTTAGGATGCATACTACCAGACTTGCTTAGGATGCTGAATCTGACCTACATTTTCTGGATGAGAGAACAGGTTAAAGTTTTTGGTACAGGATTCATTTCCAAGTAACTTTGAGCCCTATAATGACCAAACTTGCATGGATGGTACATCTAAGGGTGCATTCTACCAGGCTGGCTTCAGATGCTGAATCTGACCTACATTTTCTGGATTAGTGAAAAGGTTAGTTTTTTTTTTATACAGGTTTCATTTCCAAGTTACTTTGAGCTCTATGTTGAGCAAACTTGCATGGATGATACATCTTAGGATGCACACTAATGGACTTGCTTCAGATGCTGAATTCGACATACATTTTCCAGATAATGGACCTCGTAAAAGTTATACATGCAGGTCTATTACTAAGAAACTATAAGGCGTATATAAACCAAACTTGCACAAATGATGCATCAAGGGATGAAAACTCTCAAACTTGCTTCAGATGCTGGATTTTAATTATGTTTTCATGATGAAGAACTAGTTTGAAGTTTTTATATAGGTCTTTTCCAAAGTATCAAATCAAAATTACATAAATTTTGCATTTTTGGATGTACACTTTTTGTTGGTTAATTGTGTGACTTTGCCTTACTTAAAGACAACATTCGTTGAGGTGAGCTCTGTAATCTCTGATTACCTATGTTTGTTCAACATTCTTGTTTGTAAACTGAATTAATATGTTAAGTTTGTATCATCAAAGAAATGTCATATGAAAGGGATTTTTTTTTCATAAAATTTTTACTTGATTATTTCATCTAAAGTGCAGATACATGTGTATATGTAAAAAATAGCTTTGAACATATCATGCAACCCCTGCATGGTTAGAAGTTCTGTTCTAAATTAAGTTCTTACAGGTAGTGTTGTACTTCACTTGTAAGTGACTTATAGATGACTAATACTTGACAAAGTATGAAGGGTTAATGCTTGACTCATAAGTCACTTATAGTCACTTATAAGTGACTATACTTGCATAAAGCATAAGTGGCTAATACTGGCTTATAAGTCACTTATAGGTCAAGCAGCTCATTTGCATATAAAATCCTAATGAGTAACTTATTAGTCACTTATAAGTTAAATGAAGTGTAAGTCCAGAATAAACAACTTATAAGTAAAAGAATAAATCACTTATAAGTCACTTATCAGAAATTTCTTTAAGGGGGCCCCTGGGCCTCTTGTATAAGCCTTATAGTTTCTTGGTAATAGACCTACACCCACAACTTTTACGAGGTCCATTATCTGGAAAATGTATGTTGAATTCAGGATCTGAAGCAAGTCCTTTAAAGCGCATCCTTAGATGTATCATCTATGCAAGTTTGCTCAACATAGAGCTCAAAGTTACTTGGAAATGAAACCTGTATATAAAAATAGCCTTTTCACTAATCCAGAAAATGAAGGACAGATTCAGCATCCGAAGCCAGCCTAGTAGAATGCACCCTTAGATGTACCATCCATGCAAGGTGAGCTAAAAATCAATGTAATTGTAAGTAATTGACAAAATTATCAATGTATTTCAAAGTATTTAATTACGTTTCAAAGTAATTGACCCCAACCCTGGTCTTGGGCAGCAGTTGACCTGTCCAATCTTTATGCGAACTGTTTGCAGATGCCTTTAGCAACAGTTTGCACCTGGGTTCAACAGGTCAAGCACAGTCTTTATCCTTAGTCAACAAAATGTATATTGTGAATTTCTTTATACAGCTGTCAGTCTCGTATAGTTTTGGTCTTACCTTAATAAAAACTTGGTATACATTTATGTATTGAATATCTAACCATATAAACCTTTCATCAGTGATGCTTTTATGGTAGTTAAAATGCTTTGTAAAATAAAAACTACAGTAAAACACATTTAAAATTTAGTGCCAGGGACGGATGATTTCTCTTTATTATAAACATAATTTGTTACCTCATTTAAGGTTTCAATATATTTTAAAGCGGGAATGAAAATCACTTCACCATTAGTGTCAATTCCTTATAAACATGTTTTACTGTACTTCTCATGAAACAATAAAACTTGGTAAAACTTTTGACAACAAGAAGACACATAAAATAGAGTACGTTCTTTCAAACTGATTGATACGTCTAGGTGCCATTTAGGTTAAAAACCCTGTAGCGTTACAGTCTCCTCAGAGACTTGTGATTTTCACGGTACCACAGAAACAACACAGTGGTTAACATCTGATAACAATTTATTTGTGAGTGAGAGTAAGAATCAGTATATTTGTATTGAGATATATCACAGTTTACAAGAAGATAAAATTCAAATTTAATAAATAATGCAAAAATACTAGACACAATGCATCTCTTATCATCAATGTTAAGGAAGCTCTTTCATGACAAAAAGGCAACTGAACACAACAATTATCCGTCCACACCTGAACTAATCAAATCATGCACATCCGTACAATCTATAGTAAATGGACCTTTTTTTTTAATCCATTCACTCAAAATTTATGTACTTTGTAATACCTCATGAGAGTTACATAATTTTTTCTTCCCTCATAATATACTGACACGCAAAAGAAACGCAACACCCTACTTTGGGGGAAATAATTATGTAAAGTAAAGAATTTTGTATTTTAAAGTTATGGATATCTTCAGTTTAGTAAATATCGGTAATTTAACGGTTGAACGATTTTCGTACCATAACCGGAAATCAAGTTTGAGTCTGCTAAACAGAAATCAAAAATTGCATGTTTAACAAAACATTTGGCAATATTATGGGAGGTTTAAGAGTTTATACTGTTCATCTTAAGTAAAGCAGCAATATTTCAAAAAATAAAATCTCCTTTCGTTTCCCGTTACGATGCTAAGGCTTCTCGAAAATGGCTTAAGTAAGCATTTCCATTGCCCCAACTGGAAAATTTCAACGTAAAGGTGATGGAGAGTTGATGATGCAAAAATACACTGCATTGCGCCTCAACGGGGTCTTATGTATCATATGCATAAATGATAGTCCTTGGACCGGAAGTCCAAGGGTTACTACAATGCGCTAAGTTAGAGAAAATTCGACCTAATCATCTCAAAAACAGGCATTTAAAAATGGCAAAGAATAATTCCTTCGCTCAGATCTCGATATTGATTAACCTATTGTATCGTAAAAATCAAGCTGCAATTGTTGTTTAGGACAGTCTTGCACGTTGTAATTGAATGGCTGGGAGGGGGGTGTTTTAAAAGTCTTAGTCTTAGTTACTTAGTAAAGTTAAAAGATAAACATTTAACATTTTTATCAAATCCCTGATGTTCTGAAAAGTGAGTTTAGCCTTACTGTATTCTTTTTTGAAAATCATTAGATAAAAAATTTAAACCTTTGTAGGTTACTGCTTGTTGCGTTTCTTTTGCGTGTCAGTATAGTTTTCCAACAATAACAATCCTACTGCTCTACTTAATACTAATTCTATTTTGTAGACAAACTTGAAGAATCAACAAGCTTGATTCAAACTTAGAATCAGACACAATTAGATTAGGGGGATTTACATGTAATTATTCTTTAATTACACTGTAAAAATTAACTTCACTTTATACTTTCTAGACAATTATTTTGCTTTCAAACATCATTATTTAATACTTTTAATGTTATAGTCCTAAAATGCATTCTGAGCAATTTTTTGACATTTTTCAAAAGTTGAAAAAAAAATGGGCTTGGTGTACATCAATTTTTTGCATTTTTTTTTTTTGTAGGAAATTGTCTTCATTTTTGACTTCTTTATTAAAATAGTATGCAACTCATGTGCATGTTGTTAGGAAAAATTTATAGACATGCTGAAAACATCAAACAACATTTTCTTTAACTCCTTTTCCAATTTTTCAAATTTTGCATCTTCCATAATCTGCATCTTATACTTTTAAAGAAAGAAAAATTCATTTGTATGCCAAACACTTTTCTGTGACATATATTGAGATACATAGTTTAACCTTTAACTCTTCCATGCTTTTTAAAAGTAATTCCAGATTGAATTTTTAAAATTGGTAAAATACACATAAATGTATGAAGAGAACACATTTCATAAATACAGTCTCTATAAAACGAAAAAAAAAAACTTTAAAAAAAACTAATAGAAATACATCTGTGATTCTATTTGAAAAAAGAGCTGTTCCATGACCTGGTTATAAGTTTGAATTTACTGAACATTGATTGCAGATATTAGTTTGTATTCACAATACATTGATTGGAGAAAATATAAGCTTTGTTTTACATCATTTTGGTGTAGTCTGGTGTATTAATACATCTAAACACATTCTCTCAAAGTATACATGCTAATGCTGCAACAACTTTTATCATGAAACTCGCGATTTCTTCTGTTTCATATACTAAGACTACATATATTCATTTACTGTAGAGGTAACAAGTTACCATTTATTCAAGGAACAATTATGATACAATTTATCCAACAAAATATTCCTTATTTTAACAAATTGACAGTTTCTTTATATCAATGTCAAATCAAGTGCAATGCAGTACATAATGAGAAATCTCCTTATAATGTAATTTTCCTTCATAAAACTACAACTTTTAAAGGGCACCAGTTTTGCCAATCCAAAAAAATAATGATTTTCATGAATAAAATGCATGATGCATTTTATCTAACATATATTTGACAACTGATTAATTTCACTGACTGTAGTACATGTACTTAAACATTTGGGCAAACACTCTTTCTAACTGCCTCCATCTTTGCATTTTACTTTTTTCCTCCTCCTAACATTATTTTGTAATCAGTCAAGTTTGAAGTTATAGACGTTATCTTTGCAAACAATTTGCCACAACAGTAATAATGCACACAAAAATCTCTCTTGTACAATCAAGTCCACAATCCAACTAATACAAAAAATCCTATAAAGTACATACTAGGCAACAGAGAACTTTCAAAAACATGGAATGAGTTAAAATATTTGACCTCTGTGTACTCGTGTGGAGGGCTGGGTCTGTAGGGTACCAATACAGAGATACTTTTGGTGTAGGGTGTCCTCCATGGCTCCAGCCGGTCAGGCTGCTGGACGGTGGATGGCTATGGTCACTTACTGGGACATGCACATCCTAATACAACAGAATAAATAGGTCACACTCTCCTGTAAGTGGCCCTGACATAACAGACTAAATAAGCCACACCCTTTTGTCTGTGGCCCTAACATATCAGATTTAATAGGCCACACCCCTTGTTAGTGACTGGTTGTTCTAGCTGTCTGTCACTTTTTGGCTTTGTTGCCGTAATACTGCTGCCACACCTCATTGATTTTGGCGACCCAGTCCTGGGCTCGAGACTCTCGATCCTCCAGGTAATATGTACGATTTGGCTGAAAATAGAAAATTTTACAAGAATAAGAGGGTTTCCCTACCTATTTTAGTTACCTATTGCCTTCAGTTATTGAGAATCAAACAGAGACTGTTACTATGCCTCAATGGAAAGAAATTGAGTGGGCACAATTTAATTGTCAATAGTCTACAAGATGTAACATATCTTACCGTATGAACAAAAAAAGTTTTAAAATTCTTTGCCTCTGGCCTTAATTCTTCTGACCTGTAAAATAAGGAATAAAGCAATCATTACACATTGTGTACTGACTTGTATCCTAGCAGGATTCACAGTCTGCTCTTGTTTTCAATGTACCAGTGTCCTATTTCATGTATAAGTATGAATTCATAGCTTCATACAGATATGATACAAGAAATGCTGACAGGAAATCTATTTCATAGTAGTGGAACCACAGTCCAACTTGTAATAAATACATGTTAACTTCTATAGAAAACTTCATTAAAAATTCCATATTATTAGATCTACAGTAAAACTCGGTTATAACGAAGTCACTGGGACCTATGAAATTACTTCACTATATCCATATTCATTATATCCATATAAGAAATTCGTTAAACCTACATAACTGGGGATCTAATATAACTTCGCTATATCTGTGAATTTGCAATATCCGTGTTCATACTAAACGAGTTTTATTGTACTAGGTAAACTAAAATTTAATTTGTTTCCCATTTGATTGACTTGAGAGCATTTTGAACTATGGTAATAAATGAATGACTTATTTTGAAAAATATTTTCAGAACTTTTCAGGAACTGTTTCTGATCAGATGTATCATAAAGGACATTTTTGACAGAAACATGTACATGTATGAAGCATACAAAATAAACTTTAGAATATGTGCATGGATCAATTACATACCATGGAATCTGTCCCTTAAGAACCATATTGGCTGTGTCCACATAGTATAAGTGTGGTCCCTCGGTTAACAGAAACATTCTCTTACGGGCAAATAATCCCTATATACATAAACATACAGTGTGAAATAATCTGCTCAACATCAATTTCAAGTAAATCACCAGTACATACAATCTGCAGATATGACTGAGATGTAAAAAATTGAACATCATGACATAAAGTATCAACTTATTGAATAACAGACAAATGTAGTCTAGCCTTTTGTTGTTACCTTTCGTTTATCTATCAGGCCCTGCTTCAGGATTAGGTTCCCCTCCACAAACTTGTGATATTTATTCTGTTTCTGCTCCTCCAGTCTCTTCTTTCTCTCATCATCGGTAATTCTGTAAAACACAATCAAGTCAACCATGGATATGTCAAGGGAACTTGAAAGTCCTAACCACTATTTTCTTATTGTATTTTAACCCCAATATCTGAAACCATAAGCTATCTTGAAGTTTTTTTTTTCTTGTCTCATTTAGTTTGACATGATGTTTCATCCTAACTGGAATGAGAAACTGAATAAGAAGACTTTTACTTACACTGTCTGAGTGATTATTTCTACAACTCTTGCATCATCAAACCCAGCCTGTTTAAAAAAAAATAAAGTATCTCTTAGATACTGATGATACAAATTTTACTTTTGATATTCTGTGAAATAAGGACATTCCAGGTTAAGAGAATACCAAACAATGTTAGCTTATTGTCCTTATTAAAAGTTTTAAAATTTGATCCAATGAACAATTTTTTTTTATCTGCTCCTCTTTCTGAAGATAAAAATTTTGCTTTCTGCTATCAAACTTTTAAAATTATATTTGGTATTTCCTTGTAAATTATTTTTAAAAAGTAGGGTACAGAACAGGTAAATTGTTGTGGAATGTATTGCAAAGCTATAAAAATATGACTTGATGGTAAAGTGCTTTATTTAGAAACTTGTGATTATCTATAGAAACATAATGTAAATTATTATGAGGTCACAATAAAGTTAATGTTACAAAAAAGAATGGATTATCCATGATATATCTAAATTCTAAAGACATCTTTTGATTAAGGTTAAAGTGCTATATGCATCGTACCCTATAGCTGCTCCAGAGGTTCTCTGAATTGGTGGAGGTGGCGGGGAGATATGGTAATAGAGGGGGTGGTGTCTGCTCATGTATGTGTTCAAAGTCAATGCCTTCATAAAATGGGTGTGATTTTAACTTCTCAAAGCCCCCCATTTCCTCACAACCTAGTCGTTGTTCAGGATCTAGTACTAACAGTTTCTCCACCAAGTCCTGGGCTACAACATTAAAGCCATCTGGAAACTCGTACTCAAGTTTGGTGATTTTCTGGAATATCTGGTACTCATGTCTAAATTAAAGGCATTCCACATTCAGTTAAATAATCACAACTACAATAAAATGATAATAAATTTAAAATAAATCTACTTCATATCAAAAACATGAAGACATTTTATACTTACCCTCCTCTAAATGGGGGCAGTCCCGCCATTAGCTGATATACAATACAACCTAATGCCCATAGGTCAGAACTGTAAAAATAAAGTCATGTGTTATGTTCTTGAGCAGAGTGATGATTGAAAACTAACAGATACTACCTCAATAGGAGTTCTCTGACTACTATACAACGCAATGCAGTGAGTTTGTTGATACAGTATACTGTAAATGACCTTGCTTAGGTGGAAGTTTTCTTTGAAATTCCGTGTCAAAGCCATTACATGTTGAGAACAAGTAAATTTGATAGTAGGGACAGTGTTTTTTTTTATACCTGTAGTAAGCCTTTTTGCTGGTTTTTCTTACCTGTAGTAGGCCTTTTTGCTGGTTTTTCTTACCCGTAGTAGGGCTTTTTGCTGGTTTTTCTTACCTGTAGTAGGCCTTTTTGCTGGTTAGAACCTCAGGAGACACATACTGGGCTGTACCAACAAAGGAATTGGTTCTGCCACTGGCTGGAGCTGTAATGTCAGGAGAATGCTTCCTTATAAAATTATCATGGACTAAATAAACCTAGAAATCTGACAGTCCAGACCTCTGAGGGATATTTCTGGTGGCAGAATTATTTTTCCAATATTCAAATCGACTGTGCACAAAAACTGACAATGTATGTAATTTCTCACCTTCCTCCACTCTTCCATCCTTCAGTATTTTAGCACTGCCAAAATCTGTTATTTGTATGTGCATTTCATCATTTAGGAGAATATTTTCTGGTTTTAAATCTCTGAAATATAAAAACACCTTTAAAAATGTGTCCCTTCTCTCCCTGGGTACTGATATTCAATACAATTAAAACATAGCTTATAATACTCATAGTAATTGTTCACAAGAACATTTTCTTTTCATTGGATGCATGATCAAAATATTCAATGAAGAATTCCACAAGTCTTAAGACTGGCTTAGATAAGTTCTCTTGTTGGTGTGGGGGAATGCCTAGAACCCAGTTTAACACTAACCTGTGTATAATTCCCTTGCTGTGAAGATATTCTAATGCCGTGACAATTTCAGCTGTATACCACTTGGTGCATGGTTCATCAAAGGAAGATAACTTGTGTATGTAATCCAATAATTCTCCCCTCCTGGCATAGCTCAATACAAAATCTATGGGTATAGGATAGCAACCACAAAACACAAACCTCTAATCAACTCAGAATTCTATATATTCCACCACAGTCTACAATCGATCTGCACACTCAATGGTGACAAATCTACAGCTGTATTACAATGAACACCAATACTGTAATTTATCATAGAAGTTGAGAAAAAATCTAAATAAATTATTTCTTTCAATTACAAACAAAGGTAAGCAAATTATTGTTGATGCTTTGCTTTCATAGGACTACCAGACAGAAGGATACAGAGCCTATCCGTGTCCTGGAAGGTGTAGAAGAGCCGGATAAAGAACGGATGATTGAGCTTCATCAGGACTTCCTTCTCCCGCATCACATACTGCGTCTTCCTCTCCCGCATAATGTGTCTCTTCTCCAGCACCTTAACTAAATAACAAAATGTCAATCAAACACTGCCAAACTGTGAAAATATAATTAAACAAGAGGCCCATGGGCCACATCGCTCACCTGAGAAGCTTTGACCATTCTGTTCTTTACCAGATTTCCCCCTTGTTATACATAATGCATCCCCACCCTTCCCCACTGATCATAATTTAGACATTTTGAAATCTACACTACCCCATGATCCTTCCATGGGCACATATGTTTCAGCTTTTTTGGCCCAGTGGTTCCTGAGAAGAATATTTTCAAAGATTTTTCCTATATATTTCTATGTAAATCTGATTCCCTATAATGGCCCCCCCTTCCCCCGGGGGTCATATTCCTACAATTTACACTATCCCAGAATGCTTCCACATAAGCTTCACTTTTTCTGGCCCAGTGGTTCTTGAGAACAAGACAAAGATTTTTCCTATATATTTCTATGTAAAACTTTGATACCCTATTGTGGCCCCGCCCTTCCCCCGGGGGTCATGATTTGAACAATTTAGAATCTACACTATACCAGGATGCTTCCATATAAGTTTCAGCTTTTCTGGCCCAGTGGTTCCTGAGAAGAAGATTTTCAAAGATTTCTCCTATATATTTCTATGTAAAACTTTGATTCCCTATAATGGCCCCGCCCTTCCCCCGGGGGTCATGATTCCTACAATTTAGAATTTACACTACCCCAGAATGCTTCCACATAAGCTTCACTTTTTCTGGCCCAGGGGTTCTTGAGAATAAGATTTTCAAAGATTTTTCCTATATATTTCTATATAAAACTTTGATTCCCCATTTGGCCCCGCCCTTCATTATTTGAACAATTTAGAAACATTATACCAGGATGCTTCCACATAAGTTTCAGCTTTTCTGCCCCAGTGGTTCTTGAGAAGAAGATTTTCAAAGATTTTTCCTATATATTTCTATATAAAACTTTGATTCCCCATTGTGGCCCCGCCCTTCCCCCGGGGGTCATGATTTGAACAATTTAGAATCTACACTACCCCAGGATGCTTCCACATACGTTTCAGCTTTACTGGCCCAGTGGTTCTTGAGAAGAAGATTTTTTAATGACCCAACCCTATTTTTGTCTTTTCTTGATTATCTCCCCTTGCGAGGGGATATGTCCCTCCATTTTAACAATTTAAATTCCCTTTCACCCAAGGATGCTTTGTACCAAGTTTGGTCAAAATTGGCCCAGTGGTTCTTGAGAAGAAGTCGAAAATGTGAAAAGTTTACAGACGGACAGACAGACGGACGGAAAGGATAGAAGACGGAAACCACGGACAAAATGTGATCAGAAAAGCTCACTTGAGCCTTCGGCTCAGGTGAGCTAAAAACAACACACAATTTCAAAGAATTATGGTCCCCTTTTTCAATGTCTATATGGGTGAGATGAGATGTAATTTTTATGACATATTGTGTAAAATATGAATGCCCCATCATATTTTAACTAGAATTTATCACCGAAGTTGATTTTTTTGAAAATTAGGTCAATCATGAAGGTCAAGGTCTAGGGGTCAGAAATCATAACATTCTCAGAAAGGTCTTGTCACAGGTAGTGCACAGGTCAAATCTGATAGCCTTGCCTCTTCTCATTCAAGATATGACCAAGGCTCAAGTTTTTGAAAAGTAGGTCAAACTTCAAGGTCAAGGTCAGGAGGTCAAATCCCAGTGCATTTAGAAAGGTTTTCTTACTGGTGATACACATGGTTAATATGAAAGCCCCATCTCTTCTCATTCATAAGTTATGGCCAACTCAAAGAAATGTTTAAATTTGTTTAAAGAAGGGCATACTTCAAAGTCAAGGGTCAAAAATAATAGTGTATTTAGAAAGGTCTTTTCACAGGTAATATACATATGTAATATGAAAGACCTGATCCCTAAAGTTTTGTAACAGATGTTATAGTCTGCACATAAAATATGGCATCAGTTTGGAGAAATATAGATTCCATATTGACCAGTCCAAGTTTTTCTCCAACTCAAGTTACTCATTTTTTAAAAATTCTAACAGGTGTATTACGGCTTGCTAAGTGTCTTTTGAAAATTAAAAAAATCAAGGAACATTTATTTGAGAAAAACAGATACTAATGTACAGAATATAAGGCAGTCAATCAAAAACATTCTTGGTGATAAGACTGATAACAGAATTGTAGAATCTTAAATATTTGCTATTGATATCAGTAGAACTTAGTATCTTATTTTCTTGAAAGTACTATAAATCACTTTCTATTTACAAGAACTTTATTTACACATAAAACACAAGGTGTCTACTTATTATAATTTTATATTTGGCATTCATTTAGGCCTTATATACATGTATATGTGCTTAAAGATTATATAAAACAATCATGAAAATCCATGATAATCTTGTCAAACAAAGCTCAGAGAAAGATGTCATGAAAATTTTGTAATTCATAGTACATATACAATGAGAGGTTGAGTACTAACAAGTTCCTCTTTCAGTTTACTTTTTCTCCTCCATTTTACTTTGTACTTTTGATTAAAAGTATACACGCTATAACTTGCGCCAGTTAAATTACGATTGGAAATTGATATAATTTGTTTATCAATAAAAGTTACGAAAATACTGTAAATTACACCATTAAAATTAAATGCGTTACAAAGTTATCAAATTATAATTATTTATTATCCTGCAAGGAAAGAAAAATAGTTATTTTTAAATAAATCCATCCCGTGACGGCGTCGCTACTTTTAGATTGATAAACACACGTGGCGTAAAGAAAACAAGGTAGGCCGTTTGAGATACTACTCACTTTTGATGTGGATGGCAAGCATCTTACTCTTTATGGTACTTATCTTTTAATGTATTCAGTATCAACCATCTTCTCTTTTATGACTCATATTGACCTTATATTAATAATTGTTGTCAAAATTTTCAACATACGTCGTTTATGTGATTTTATTACATACGTGTTTCTATATATAGGCCTACTGTTTACGCACTTCCTTCATCAATATTCATGAAAAGACTGAATTCTTAATTCCTAGATATGTTTAATTGTTTTGTTATTACAACGACATCTATAGTACAATTTTGTGGAAAGTATTATTTTTTATTACACTTCATGTATTTTAATTCATTAATCATTTTGTTTCACACAAAATTCGGCGTTCATATAGCGTATATGACTTTAAGGAAGTAAACTGGAGTATCTCATGTCTGATGGACACTTACTAGCATATTCTGTATTACTGTCAACTTCTTTTGCCAAATACACCTGAAAATTTAAAGAAAACATTTTTTGGTAAACAAACTGACAATTCTAAATATATCAAGACATAGACAGTATATTTTTTTTTTTTTTTTACAATCTTATAAGATAATGATACTGGCTTCTAAGATCATAGGTTTGTAAAAGTAAAAAAATTAAAGCCAATTTTTTTTCTCTCTCCAATTCTTACGTTTAAACATAATTAATAAATTAGTTATTTGTTTAGGTAGAATCACAATCAGCATAATCATTATGTGTCATGGTCTTGTCAACAAGCAAGAAAAGGCCATAGATTTAAATTAATTTTCCAAATATTCAGTTTATATACAATTATTATAATTATTATAGAGGTATTCCACTGTAAAATTAATACAAGTACTATACAATATTTTACTACAATAAACAACAGATTTCAAATACATGTATAAAAGAAAATGCAAGCTTTGTTCAGTATTTAACACATTTCATGAAGTAAGTTGCCATTTTTCCTTATAGACAGAGTTTCATTTAGGACTGGAAGACAGCAGAGAAAATGAACTCTGCTTTAATAACTACATATGTACTCCCCAGTAAACTGTGTACCCCTTTACTTACTGCTGAGAAAGACCCCTCTTTAAGAACTACTCCCAAGTAAACTTTGTACCCCTTACTTACTGTTAAGTAAGACCCTTCTTTAAGAACTACTCCCCAGTAAACTTTGACCCTGTACTTAATGTTGAGTAAGACCCTCTTTAAGAACTACTCCCCAGTAAACTTTGACCCTGTACTTACTGTTGAGTAAGACCCCTCTTTAATAACTACTCCCCAGTAATCTTTGTACAAATGTACTTACTGATGAGTAAGACCCCTCTTTAATAACTACTCCCCCAGTAAACTTTGTACTCCTGTACTTACTGTTGAGTAAGACCCCTCTTTAATAACTACTCCCCAGTAATGACCCTGTACTTACTGTTGAGTAAGACCCCTCTCCAATGACCTTCCCAAATATAAAGTCATTGGGGGTTTTCTTGACGTTCTTCTTGCTCTCACTGCCCTCCACTGACATCCTCAGCCCGTCCATAATACTGAAAATAGGAAAGTCAACATCAACAACCCGTCCATAATACTGAAAATAGGAAAGTCAACATCATCACATCAATATCAGATTACAGTGACAAATAAAGAGTCATTGGATGAAGGAACATTAATATTGTGTAATTATTTAGAACAGCAGTGTTTTTATGGTTATTTATTTTTTTTTTTAACAAAATTTATACTTTACAACAAAAAAAAAAATAATCTGATCTTTATCTTATTGGTAATAAGGTCAGGAAATGCTAGGGGTATGAAGGGAAATTCCACTGGTAATTCCAATATATATCATCCTGGTAAATAACTCTCTACCAACCACAAAAGGTCACCAAAGAAAAATGGAAAATCTTGGGGAAAAACATTTTGCCTGAGCATTGCTGTGTTCTAGCATGTGTGGGGCCCTCTGTTTAGCTGTCTGTCTGTCTCTATCTGGAATACCTCTATACAGTACATTCATAAACAGCATTATATTTTTGGGGTCTATATTTCATTCTCTTAGAGAAACTAGCTATTTTCATACCTGAAAAGCTGCAGGAATATATGGATTGGCTGGTTCTCTTCAACCAAGGTGTACTTGATAATTTAGGTAGTAGAAATATTTTTGAATAATCCATAAAAATTATCAATTTGAAAAAAAAAGCTATGACCCATCCCATAACAAATGGCTATTGCCTAACACTTCCTTATTACATGTAGTTATATATAATTTTTGGGGGGCTACCAGTCTTTATTTACAGTGTTACAAACAATGCAACCAGATAGTGAGTACATTCAAGGACAACTCAATTGTTATAAACATATTGTTATTATGTCTATATCAACTTCCTGCTTTGAATCTGTAAATAAATGGGTCTATACTGCTACCTCATTCTGATTTCACTACTATGCTATAATCACTATGTGCCATACACACATGCACTGTAATTTGTTTTTCATGAATACCTAATCATTACAATGCAGTAATCTGTTATTGAAATTGCTGACTATTTTTACAGTAGTTTAAGCAGTATCCCTTATCTAATACCGTAAATCTGGAAATTTTTACGACGATTTTATTTTGCGAATCTGGGTCAAAATGCTTTTGATTAATTTTTACATTTCAAAATTTTGTGAATGACCACTACTTTGTTTACATTTTCTTATTGTTGATTTATATTTAAGAAAAATATTTTTGCGAAAGCAATAAACTCGCAAATTTGCTAAAAATTTATCTACAGCAAAAATTTCCGGATTTACGGTAGTTTATATCATTTGGTTTATACCTACAGCTTCTTTTATAATCTAGTAAGGATTGCAACATTTTTTTTAATATAAGGTTTTATACACTCCATGTTGATGCAATTGCCTTAAAAGTAGCCATTCATTATGTGAGTAGTAGTCTTTCAAAATTGGGCAAAATTTACTGTCAATTATCAAACAAAATCAGTGGCATACAAGAGATTATAAGATGGATAGTTTGAACTTCAATTAATGTTACATTCAATAAAATTATCCACGTAAATATTAAGTTATCCCCATATTAAATGAAACATGCTTAATATGGTTTGTTTGTCTGCCATTTTCAAGAGAAATAGTGTAATCTGTTCTAGATAATGTTCCAGAAAAACCAAATTGAATTAATAGGTGTTTTCAAAAAAAAGTTATTTACTATCAATTGTTTCTCAATCGTCAATGATAATCTGCCTTCAGTGATTACTTTTTGATAGGCAGTGACTATTGTAACATCACTAGTGATTGGCTTTAATTTTACACAACTTGGATTTTTTCTGTCCCTCCCAAAGATGCTCCGGAAGCGAAAATACATGCATCTTTCTGAGTAAAAAAAAAATTCTATTTCATTATGTTTGTTCTTTCTAGTAGGTATTACCTAGTCTTCCTTTAGTCACAAAATGTTAGTTTTCTTATTTCAAAAATGTTTCATTCCCCTCCCCACCAAAAGGGTTGAAAAGAATAGGTTGAATAGAAATAATAATTAATTCAAGAGGATGATGATACCATCACTTGAAAAATAAATTTTATACATATCAGAGATAGTATAATTCTGAATATAATGGACTTAGTTGTGGATACAGGTCTGGATGGCTCAGATGCTACTTGACAAGCAGGGGTCACGAATTTGATTCCAGGTCCAAATACATTTTGTCCTTTCCTGTCACAAATTAGGTGTCATGACAAGTAAGGATGTGACAGGTGAAAGACCTGCCAGGAAAGAGTATGGGTTGGTGTCTTCAGGGGCTAAGACCATTAAGGAGGGAGGAATGTGGACGTCTGATGAGTTTGATCATATTAAGCTAGATAGTTCACTTGGTAAGAGTACCTGCCTGGAGATTCAGGAGGCCTGGGTTTTTCTCTTCTCTCATTACAATACAATTCACACTGAAATCTTAATTTAACCTATTGATGTGTACTTAGCTAGATAGAACATTCTATCATTTAACAGGTTGGGACCAATGATTGAATTAATGATTGGTCCCAACCTGTTCAATATGACTGTAGTATCTGTGCGACTATCCCGTGGTACAACTTAATGTCTGTAATACGTCAGAAGGCAGGATAGTTGCACAGACCTCTCGTACATGTGGATGTTGAACAGACAGAACGTGTCTGAATCAGCAGCAGAGCAGAGGAGTTGGCCTGGGCCAGAACCTACTGTGTTTGTATAACACGTATGATAATAAATATAATGAAAGGAACACCCCTACAGTGACATTATGACAATCACATTGTTATAAGAACCCGATTAAACAACTGTGGCGAAGGCTAGTCCATTAGCAGTCGTTAGCTTATTCTAACAGGGTTCATATGACAATATCATTAAGATGATACCAAACCTCCCGGTTTGAAAAAAAAAAAACTTCCCAACCAAAAGAAATAAAACTTAAATTATCAGACTGGAAAAATAATTAATTCAGCTAACATCTTTCAAAAAATTACTATTGTGTGAAATATCTTACGTGTATTTTCTTGAGAATGTTACGTTATCATCTCTTTTTGCTCCCTCTGAAAATTGGAAAATCGCCGATCTCTCCAACCGGAAGTAGAATTTTCCGAGCACGCGTACTGAGGTAAAATGTAAAACTGCAGTCTGAAGTTGTTTTGGGTATTCCACGAACTTCGATATGCAAAATTAGAGAAATAGGTAAAATGATAGTTACTTCAACTCAAAACTGAAGTACTAAGTTATGATATTGTGCTTTAGTTTCCTTTATCTTATATTACGTCACTTGTCACATCCGGGATATCCGAATGGCGGCAGAAAAAAACACTTGCATTTCCGGGACTGGATTAAAGTTGTAACTGGCTTATACACAATCAACTTGACAGTTGTCATGATGTAAGCAATAGAATAAGAATATTTGATAACAAAACAATGTCTTGCATATGAGACTGTGTTTCAGAATCGTAAGAGAAATGAGAGCCTCGATCAGGACAACCCATTTTCTTGGCAAGATAAAAACATTGAATCATGATATGATAATCAGATAGAACATAACATGTAGAAAATGCGTTCATTCTGAATCGACATTCTTAGTAAATGTATCAAAGATGGTTTTGAAGTTATCCCATGATAGTCCACTGTTGAGACATTCTAGATGATACACTACAGTTCAAATTATAGCAAATGATGGTATGTTACTATGTACACAGTTCAGTAATTCTGAGTCGAATTATGCAGTATTAAACTCCATTGTTGATATGATGTAGCTGTTTATATAACACTTAAAAGCATCTGGGAAAGAAAAGTAAGCAAATGTAAAATGGAGGTATGATAAGTTTTCATTGTCCATGCTGTCATGTTCCTACAAAAAAAGTAGAGACTCACTCCTTCAATAATACAACCTCCTTTTTGATCTTAGTTTGTCTTCTTCATTTTTGTACATCTAGCAGGTGAATTGTTGATGTGATTATTGTAACAGGAAAGGAGAAAGTGTATGTCTTGAACAGGATTCAAACCCTAGACCCCTGCATCACTTCCAGTCAGGTGCTCTGCTGACTGAGCCGCCCAGGCTGATATCCACTGTCCAAACCATTACATTCCTCCCTCCTTAAATAGTCTCTGCCCCCAAGATTTTGATAGCCCCTGACAGGAATTCTGCAAGTCCAGGAGTGGTCAATGCACAGAATCTTAAACAAGAAAGGAGAAAATGTATGGCTGAACCCAAAATCAAACCTGCAGGGACCACTGCATCAATAGTCAGGTGCTCTACCGACTGAGCTATCCAGACCAATATCCAGTGCCCAAACCATTACATTATATAACCAATGAGCTCTATTCAACAGAAATTGAATTTTAAAATTCTTGGCCCCTTGCTTGCCTTAGGATTAAAGCCCCCCCAAAAAAGGATAATTTGATCAGAGTTTGCACTTACTGAAATGAAATTTATATACAGATTTATCAATATATATAAGAATATCTAGGTCATTATCTCTTTTGGGTATGATCGCACCATTTTTGACAGAGTTATGCCTCTTGGACTTAGAAAAATTTCAGTTTGGGGGGAGGGGGCATATGTGTTTTACAAACATCTCTTGTTCTTAAGAATATCTAGGTCAAGATCTGTTCTGGGTATGATCGAGCCATTTTTGACAGAGTTATGCCCCTTGGATTTAGAAAAATTCCAATTATTTGCAGTTTCCGTTCATTTTCTTTGCAGAGGTTATATGTGCTGAAATGAAATTTAGTATATAGATTTTTCGTAAGAATATCTATATCAAGTTCTGTTTTGGGTAGGATTGAGCAATTTTTTAAAAGAGCTATGCCCTTGGATTTCAAAATGTTCCAATATTATTTGGGAGAAGGGAGGGGGGCATAAGTGTTTCAGAAACATCTTCTTGTTTAACCAGCTAGCTGCCTTGATTATCTCTGGTGATATAGATATATCTGAAAAATCCATAAAGACAAGCCAAATACACAGAAAATTTATTTTGATAAGCTTGAAGTTATATATTGATTGCTTGTTTAATTTTTGATTGTTTACTAAAAATTCTTACTTTTATGATTGTAGTCTTGTACAGTTAAGCTGTAAAGGAATCAGAATTTAAATGTAAAACATATGCCATACATCTCACAGGTATGTATTAACAGTAACTATTAATGACTTAATTCTATAAATAAGCCATGTCAATCAACCATTCCAGTCATTTTTCTCAAACTTTAATCCAACCGTATAACTTGACCATCAAACATTTCAGTCTAAACTAATCTCTTTTCACATTTGTTCAGCCACTTTCAGTATAGATAAAGTTGAAGACTGAAAACATAATGGTGATTTCATTTTATATTGTTATACCTAAACTGTTGAATGATAATATTCCAGTTTTTAAAGACAAAGATGTTTTCTCTTCTCCATAACTTGAGTTATTGTTCTTAGTAAAGACTCTCCACATTTGAAAATTTTAACCATAGAGGAAGCTGGGGGAAAGTGAAATCTGAATGCACAATTGTGTGTAATACCTACAGATTGTTTACTTAAACACCAATAAGAAATTCTTAAGTACATTTACATTAAGCAATAAGAAAGTCTAGTTAGTACACTATGTAGCTATTACAGATATGCAGTGCATTTTATTAGCAAGAGATTTAAATGATTCTATCCATTTGCTGTTTTTGATATTTGACCATAGGTTGAGTGTTCATTTCTTTAGAGCAGTAAAACATCTAGTTAAAAAGCTAAAAAGAAATTAACAAATGTTGCAGATAACTCAGTCTCTCATTTGTTTAAGGATTCATTTGTCTAGCTGTCCATCTGTCTGTTAAGTCTTGTTTGTCACTATAAACCACTTTATTACTATACATTATATACCCAAATGTGTTTCACTTTGCGTCTCGTTTGATCTGATGATCCGTGCCTGTCAACTCTACATGATACGACCCTTTGGATCAAGTCACTGTTATAATTATTTAAATCATCCTTTGGTGAAAGGAATTGTTCAAATGGAGGCCCATGTGCCCTCTTTTCAAGGGGAGAGGATTGATTGTATATTGTTTAACGTCCCTCTCGAGAATTTTTCACTCATATGGAGACAAGGGGAGAGGGTGAAATAAATGAAAAATTTGTGAAATGGATTACATAGGTGTTAGATTTAGTTTATAGAAGTATTACATGTAGATAGTATAAATATGTATCTTTTTTACCTCACCTGAGCCGAAGGCTCAAGTGAGCTTTTCTGATAAAAATTTGTCCTTTGTCTGTCGTTGTCGTTGTAGTCGTCGTTGTTGTTGTCGTGGTTAACTTTTCACATTTTCATTTTCTTCTCAAGAACCACTGGGCCAATTTCAATCAAAATTGGAACAAAGTATCCTTGGGTGAAAGGGATTCAAGTTTGTTCAAATAAAGGGCCACGCCCTTATTCAAGGGGAGATAATTCAGAAATAATGAAAATTTGGTGGTATGTTTTAAAAATCCTCTCCTCAAGAACCACTGTGCCAGAAAAGATGAAACTTATAGGGAAGCATCCTCAGGTAGTGTAGATATAAGTTGTTCAAAATATAACCCTTGGGGTAGGGCAGGGCCACAATAGCCAATCAAAGTTTTACATAGAAATATATAGGGAAATTCTTTAAAAATCTTCTCAAGAATAGCAAAGGCATAAATGATCATATCTATATGGAAGCATCCTCAGGTAGTGTAAATTCAAGTTTGTTCAAATCATGACCCCCCGGGGGTAGGGCGGGGCCACAATGGCCTATCAAAGTTTTACATAGTAATATATAGGAAAATTCTTTATAAATCTTCTTCTCAAGAACCACTGTGCCAGGAAAGATGAAACTTATAGGGAAGCATCCTCAGGTAGTGTAGATTCAGCTTTGTTCAAATCATGACCCCTGGGTGTAGGGCGGGGCCACAACATGGAATCCAAATGTTACTTATAAATATGTAGAGAAATTCTTTAAAAATCTTCTTTTCAAGAATGGCAAAGCCATAATTAGTCATATTCATATGGAAGCATTCTCAGGAAGTGTAGATTCATGACCCCTGGCGGTAGGGCAGGGCCACAGTGTAAGTTCAAATGCAAAGGCAATAAATGCCACAGGTAGTCAAAGAAATATGCAAGCATCCTTAGTTTGTGTAGATTCAAGTTTGTTCATATCATACCCTCTCCTCTTTAAGGATTGGTTGGGACCTGTACTTTTGGGTTTAAACTTTTAAATAATTAACTGATTTCTGCTTTTTTCCAAGGTGCAGTGCTCAGGTGAGCGATGTGGCCCCTGGGCCTCTTGTTTGTCATGGACCCTATTCTCTCTGCTATGAAATACTTCAAATTAGTATAGCATCAGGGTTTACATGAAATGTCAGTTACCCTTCTGCCACTCTTACATTGAGTTCTTAGTCTCAACAATGAATACTTTACACTCATATAATTTTTACACGTTTCTTTGTTGACACTTGGATTTTGTCGGTTACTTTTACTTTCATTATACATTTACTGAGGTTTGAAGTACACTAGGTTTCTTAGTTATCTCTCATGATATAAGTATCAGTTCCAGGGATCTTCTGGAAATTAAGGACGTATGGTTAAAAAGAATTCAGTCTTGACAGTAACAAGGTTGGACAGTTTTTAAGCTCGCCAAACAAATAGCGCAACATGCCTCAATTATTATATTGTCCCATGTGTATGTTCTTGATATTTGTTTTGTCTATATTTTTCAAATTTTCATGTTTTCTTTTGTGTTTAATTTTGACAATTTCAACCACTCTCTAACTAGGAAAGAAAAAAGGAAAAATCATAAGTGGCATCAGTTCATTCTGGTCAAGGCTGTTTGGCTGATCTCTGTGATAAAAAGTATATTAAGGTCTATATTTATACCTGTCTACCATGTGTGTTTTGTTGGTTTTCTGTCCCAAGTCACTTTTGATTAACCAAGTTTTTCTGTTCTTAGTTATGGAATATAATGTAAAGCATTAAAATAGACTTTGTCCTTGACATTTTCATTTAGGGTCATTGTCATTCTCTCAGTTAGTGGTTGATTTTTTATATTTTTATTTCAATGTAAAAATACTAGGCTAAAAATCTTGTTATGTTTATATTTACTTTTTTTTATATCAATTTTTTTTTATGTATCCTATGATAAAAGGGTTAATCCACAACTGGCTCTAATAAATGATAATCAAATGTTATCAATAAAATTTTACATACTGTTACCCCTATCTATTTTAATTTTTGCATTAAAATTTCATGTGATTATATAAA